AGCCAGATGGATGTCCGGTAAATCATAACCTAATCAGAAAGGTTTCTATGTTTGTATTCAGATAGTACAATTGATGTCCCAACAAGCCTTGTTTCACTTCCACATCATTAGCTACAGTCTTTTCTATTGTCCATTTTGCTGCAGCCTCTCCAATCTCTGTAGCAGGGCGTTCCCAAAGGCTTCTCTGTAACCTGGGCTGAGGGTGTCCAGCAGCGAATAAACAGTCTCATAGTACTGGGTGCTCAAGCTCTCATCCACCTGGTCGAAGGCGTAGCCAACCACCTGTAAGGTCAAACATAGAGCGGTCAATCATATAGGCCTACACAGAATAACAGTTCAACAGCACAAATTGAATCACAGCATCAAGTCAATATTGTCGATATCCCTCACCCTTAAACCGGCTTCTGTGAGCTCAAGGCAATAGCGATTTCCCTCTCTCGTTTCCACGTTTATGTAGGCCACATCCAAAACACTGTCCAGATTTTGGGACACGTACATTTTGGCCACGGCGAATAGCACATCATTGACCACTGCCTCTGCTTCCAACCTCATGTCCTTCATGTGATTAATACAGTCTTCGTCAAGCAAGGAAACAGCTGAGTCCTCTGGTCGGTAGTCTATCTCCATCCCCTACACCAGACACACACAAAATCAACTGATGTTAAAGGTAAAAGAAGTAAGAAAATTAAGTATAGTAAATGCAAGCTAAGTACAAAAAGAAAGAAAAAAGTAGTGTTTTACCATATAATAATAAATGCGTTTTTGTTATCATAGGAGAGTTTGTAAACTAAGATGTAAAGCTTCAAATTAACATTGCATTTAGAACTATATTAAAGGGAGGTAGGTAAATGGTACAAGCAAGTCCAAATATATTATTACAGTAGAGCTTTAAAGGCTGGTGTGTTGTGATGGTTTGGAATTCATTCATGAATCATGTGATAACTATTGAGATGAGTTAGAGTATGACTAGCGAGCTAGCTAGCATCTCATACCATAGTTACTACTGTTTATGTTTGATACCGGAGCTCTGAGGCATGAGTCGAAATCGCTAAGCAGCTAACGCCTCGATCACACCGACAGCGTTTTGGTACACCAGAAGTACGTTAATTTCAAATGGAATGCTGTGTTTGCCTTGCAGCATTGCGTTGCATATCCAATTGCAGTACGTTCTGTGTGGTGCATACGTTTGATTTATCAAAGATATGCATCAAATTGTATGGGTAGACAGCTTGACAGAAATGGTAGCAGAAGGTGAATGTTGAACTTTTGTTGCACACATATCCAGATGATGCTGCAGTCCATTTTGCGCAAAAACACTGTAGGTGTGAGAGGCATAACTTCGAAGCAGTGTGCCGATGCGTATCACTTTATCAGAAGTACATCATCAATGACAGCCGAAGCTTCATTTGATCACGTGCTTTTTCAAACCATGTGTTGCAAAATAAGAGATCCCACTGATTTCGTTGTGGTTCCGGTGCTTTCTTCGATTCCAAGCTGCTTTCAAACACCGACCTCTATACTGGACACGTACTTACAAATATAGTTCGTATTTTGAACTAAAGGTTTACTCTAAAACAGCTTTTGTTTTTAGGGATTTCTTTTTTTACTACCTCGTACAGTAGGTGGCGCCAATACACCTTATGAGTGTAGTCTGCCAATAAACCTCAAAGAAGAAGTTTACACCTCGATCACACCTACAGCGTTATTGCACAAAATGGTATGCAGCATCATCTGGATATGTGTGCAACAAAAGTTCAACATTCACCTTCTGCGCATACAGTTTGATGCATACCAAACAGAACGCATTGCAATGCAATGCTGCAAGGCAAATGCAGCGTTCCTTTGGAAATGAATGTACTTCTGGTGTACTAAAATGCAATGACGCTGTCGGTGTGATCAAGGCGTTACCCTGACTGGTAGGTTAGCAGGTAGGGAGTACAGAACATTCAGGGACGTGAGGGTATGAGGTTGAAGACACACTATTTCAAAAAAGGTTTTATGTGAAACCACACTTTCTGCACTGTACAAATAATTTGTTTTATTTAGTATTAGCTTCTGTCTTAAGCATAGTAAATAATGCCATAGATTCCGTTGTTTTGTTTTTTATATACTGAACAAAAGTAGAAACGCAACATGCAACGATTTCAAAGATTTTACTGAGTTACAGTTCATATAAGGAAATCAGTCAATTGAAATGAATAAATTAGGCCCTAATCTACGGATTTCACATGACTAGGCAGGGGTGCAGGTAAAGAAGCCGGATGTGGAGGTCCTGGGCTGGCGTGGTTACACGTGGTCTGCTGTTGTGAGGCTGGTTGGACGTACTGCCAAATTCTCCAAAATGACTTTGGAGGCAGTTTATGGTAGATAAATTAACATTCAATTCTCTGGCAACAGCTCTGGTGGACATTCCTGCAGTCAGCATGGCAATTGCACACTCCCTCAAAACATTGTGGCCTTTTATTGTCCCCAGCACAAAGTTCACCTGTGTAATGATCGTGTTGTTTAAATCAGATTCTTGATATGCCACACCTGTCAAATGGATGGATTATCTTGTTGCGTTTATATTTATAAGGAATATAAAGGGACGCATGATGCAGGTATTCCCACTGATTATAGGCTAACAATGCCAAAGATTTACCGCTGCGCCACGGAATTCTGATAAAAATAGTTGAGAAAAAAACAAATCAGATAATCACACGCTGCTATTTATTGCTGACCAGGAGATGTTACTAACGTGCATTGTGAACAGATGAAGCTTCGAGTAATTCACCGTTTTCCGCCACAATTTGGTGAAAGCGCCGAAGCCTTCTTCAGAAAGCCTCGGGTTCCCATCACTACTGTTTACCACTTATCATTCCGTGACAAGACAGTCCCACTGCAGTCCACCATCATCACCATGGCATGTTAGCTTGCTAGCTATCCTACCGCCGATAGCCGCCAATATCCGTGGCTATGGGTTCTCTTTATAGAATGATTTGTATTTCCAATCAACAATAATGATTATACGTAAACTTCAACAGTATCAGGAAATGTAATTTCTGTATTTAAAAAAATATATTGTTTTTCTAGCTGCGTTACTCACCTCCCTCCGGGGTTGTTATTTTTTTACTGTACTTCCGGGTGATCAACAAAGTGTTGTTCATTAAGATTTCACACTTCCAGTTCTCAAAATCGTTGGCCCTTAGTGAGTTCTGGTTAACACAACTGTAGTTATATATTTTTGATAAATACTTTTTTGCATTGATTTCTACACCTTGTTTTTGAACATGGCACTAGTGGGGTTTCTCAGCGGTTGGCATCCAACGTTACGGTGCATTACCGCCACCTACTGTACTGGAGTGTGGGCCAGAGATAGGGAAAAACGAAATCCTACCTGCCAGCCCCGTTGCTCTTAAAAAAGATAACAAAATATTTGAGACTATATCTAATGACGTTCTACTCAATATACTCTTTAAACTAATTTCCTGTATCCCCTTCTCCCTCATACTAAATCTCATAATCTCTCTTTCCCTCTGATACTGCCCACACTGTAGCAATACATGCTAATATTCAGATCAGAAATCATAAGAAAAAGTTGAAGTGGAATGGCTTGTGGAGGAAAAGCTTTGCTGGGAGCCTATGCGCAGTAAACCCTTTTAGTAGATTTTCGCAGAAGGGGGTGGAGTTCGGTTGTGTACGTTCTCCTGTCTTCTTACGTACAGCGAAACGTGGAAAGCGTCAAGCGGGAGTTATATTAATGTCCAGGACATTCCCGGGTGAAGCGGGTTAGCCTTGATTGCGTGAGCCAGGTGCCCCGTTCTGGCCGACGGCGAAGAACGCTCAAAACAAAAGTGACGTAGGTTAAGCACGTGGAGTATTCTAGGGTTCTGTGTTTTCAAATACAAAATTGATTGATTTTGATCAAAAGGATTTATCTAGTTTGAAAATTAGAACATATATTTTATGGAAAATAAATGTGTGTTTCTGAACGATGCATCATGCTGCCTTATTGACAACATGGCTGAGCGGCGCAGATTACTGTTCGATTTGAGAAAGGCGCTCCTCCCTCACCGCTTTTGCCGGGTCCACTTTATCGAACTCCCTCAATGGTGCAGAGTCATGAAAGTGTTTGTAAACAATTCATGCAGAAGGTGAGAAATGTAAGCTATTATGTGATCAAATTGCTATATAGAACTCATTATATGACACGTAACATACTGTCTTGCCATGTCAGTTGAGCTATATTCAAAAGAGCGTGGCAGACAAACTCTAGTTCGAGTCCAAGATGTTGATGCTAGCTTGGTCGTGCTAACGTTAGCTAACTAACAACCCCAGACGAGAAAGAAGTCGATTATGTGGGGATTTAATTTGATAGCTATCGACATACCCTGGTAAGCTTGTCATACTAGATACATACTTGCTATCCAACTAAATTATCCTTGTTGGGCTAGGAGTATTGTCAAACCATTAAAAGCTATCAGATTTCGCCGGATCCTTTCAGTTAACGGTATGGACAGGATTATTAAGCGTGCAGACACCCGGTTTGAGCAAACAATGACGTGATGCTAGTTAGCTGATATTACCACCCATTCTTTATAGATATGAGCCCGACGCTTGGAAGTCAGGGTGGTGTAACTAACATGCAGCTACCAACAGTAATACGGTCTACCTCTTCCTAGGAGTGACAACAATATTGCTAGTACTGGTGCTGATGTCTTAACGTGTGGTGTTCAAATATGAAGTTCAGTTTCAATCTTATGTTCCTTTTCATTGACAGGTACAGCAAACTGAAGTTGGAATTATTGCCACATATCTCCATAGAAACCATATAATTCTCCCTGTATGTAAAGGATGTTTAAGATGAAATTTTCCTGATTTTAAGTTGCAGGATGACAAGACCGATACTACCAATGCTAAATTATTTGAAGATAAATATTTAGTTCTCCAACATCCTTTTTCTCCATACAACATATTTGTTGAATACTGAATTCAACAACCACCACAATTATCAGACCAACATGCCTTGGCCATTTTCCGAGTCTATAAAGAAGCGGGCATGCAGATACCTTTTGCATCGGTATTTGGGCAATTTCCTACAAGAGAAGCTGAGTTTAGATCAGCTTAGCTTAGACCTCTATCAAGGCACTGGATCACTGGCACACGTGCCTTTGGACAAGTGGGTAAGTTCAACCTTTGTTGTGTAAACAAATAATAGCAATGGCATAATTGGATTTGTATTGACATAAATGCTGAAAGTGTACCTTTGCCTGAGCGCTATTTCTTCCCCCTCAGTCTTTGAATGAGATCTTGGAGTCAGTGGATGCCCCCTTTGAGGTAATAGAGGGCTTCATCCAGACCATCTCTCTGACCGTACCATGGGCTTCCCTGCTGCAGGAGAACTGTGCCCTCGAGGTCAAGGGACTGGAGATGGTGTTCAGACCCAGGCCACGCATGGGTAAGAGGACACCTCCATCTCTGTTTGTCTCTTCAGCATCATTGCACTATGGCTGCCTGCTACTAGTGCACACATAGCTAACTAGCTAATGATTCTACATCGATTACAGATTGAATAAATCATGTTGACCATGACTGTTTCTCCCTGTGTGCCCCTAGCATCAGGTATGGAACCCATGTACTGGTCCAGCTTCATGACGAGCAGCATGCAGCTTGCCAAAGAGTGTCTGAGCCAGAGACTAACGGATGACTTGGGGGAGAGCTTTCAGCCACTAGAGGGATTGGAGAAGTTTGCAGAGACCATAGAGACAGGTGCAGTACATAATTACCATACAATAAGTCAACACTTGATTGGGCCTTCTTCCTGAGGATCAGTAGGGTTGATTTATGATTTTTATTTCATTTCTGTAGTTCTGAGAAGAGTCAAGGTGACTTTTTTGGACACGGTTCTCAGAATAGAACATGTTCCAGAAAATTCCAAAACAGGAATCGCTCTTGAGATGCGAATCAACAAGTAAGTTAGGTTATAACAACTACTTGCACATTCAAGTAGTGTCCAATAACTTTTACTTAGGTATTCCTGATTTGATTGAGCAATTTACAGAGCTTTACATGAGCTCTTAAATCCTTATCTGTTTTGTGTTTTTCAGGATTGTTTACTGTGATGAGACGGGTGAGGAGAGCTCCAGTGTGAATGTGCACCAGCCCACCACGTTTGCACATAAAAACCTGCAACTGGAGGGAGTCACCGTCTTCTGGGATGAGTTCTCAGAGGCAGCCAGAGCTGGCTTCAAGTCCTCACCCATCCCAGCAGTGAGTCTACATCCAAATCATCTCCTGTGTAGTTTTAAGCACAGATAACTGATACTCACTCACTCTTCCCTTTTCTGCACCCCCTCAGGAGACAGAGGCCAAGCTATCCCCCAGCTGGAACCCCAGAATAATCTGTGAGCCACACCCCCAGTTCACAGAGCCTGTTTCCTCTGCAACGCCCTTTGAACCCATGCAGATTGGTCACCTTAGTGGCAGAATCGATCTGTCGCTTGTCCTGAAACAAAACCAAACCATGCCTGGAGCAAAGGTTGGTACAGCATTATCACATGATTGAAATGGCACAGCAGCTGTGAAACTTGGACTCCTGAAATGCACAGAATGTCTATTGTCTTGGTCTTTGAAAGGGTATTTTTGTTTTTCAGTTGGATGTTGATGGACAGATTAGTACAATGATCATGCTGCTATCTCCAAGGCAAGTTCACCTACTCCTGGACATGTTTGGAGTTTTTTCAGGCTCAGGTGGGTTTAATGATTGCAATTTAATGATGATATCTTAAAAGGAGCTGCCTCAGAGGTTGGTGAGTGAAATACTATAAGCCTCTGCTTTTGTGTCTGAAGGTGGGCCGGAGTGGGGGAAGGACAAGAGGAACCGGCCCATGCAGCAGGAGGATGAGCATCGGCTCCACATGGAGCTAAACCGCTGCCTGAAGAAGGACTCAATGATGGCCGGAGAAGATCCTGACCTTTTCGAGAGCCAGACCACCAGAACTGTGTCCAGCCGAGGTTCAGATGAATTGTTACCTCCACCCACTATGTTTAATAACCTGATGACTTGTATTGAGCTTTTTGTTAGTTATTGTAGGCTTCTATCTGAATATCATGAACAATTGTTTGATCTAGTTTCTTTGTTGTTGGAGCAGAGGATGTGTTCTTCTCCATGGCTGACATGGACATGTCTCACAGCCTGTCGTCCCTCCCCCCACTGGGGGAACCGCCCACTGTGGACCTGGACCTGTCACTCAACAGTAACTACTCCCCCTCCCCAGGAGAGTCACCCTCTGGCAATGCCACGGTATGTCTCACTAGACTTAGTAAAAGCATCTTAACCTGACCTAATGACATGGTTATTGTAACATAGTGTCATTTTTGTTCCTTTGTCCTCTAAGAACCTTTGGGACGATTACCTGGATGTGCCCAGACAGAGGGAGAAGCAGACCCAGGAAAGCCCTTTCCTGATGCGGGACTCACCACTCCAACACAAGCTGCTGAGACAGACCTGTAAGAACCAGGATACACTGTCACTACCGTTTAGAATAAACTGAGCAGAGTGTTTACAAGTCAGTAATTCACTAATTTTGTCCTGTGTTTCTCAGCCCACCCAAGCAAAGCCCATGGTGATGAGTCCAGGCCGGAGCTGGTCTTCAGGCTTACTCTGGGGAGCCTGGCTGTGTGTGTTCTCCACATCGACCCCCTGCCCCCGCCAGACGCTGCCCCCAGCCCCCTGGCCCCCATGGCTGCTGACTTCTTCAGGGTTGCCTGCTCCGACCAGCTCCCCCCAGCAGGGTTCATCCAGTTACGCACAGCGTTTGACGATGCCTGCCCCCATGACCACCTCAGGTGATCTTATTGACATTGTCTGCTAATATTTTTCACTCCCCTGACACATTTGTAACCTGACTGACTCAATCCCATGTCATATGTGTCCTCTATCTCTCCAGGTTTGTGGCTCAGGGGATGAAGGTGACATATGAGCATTGTCAGGGCTCTAGCCTGCACAGCTTCAGCACAGACGTGTCCCTGGGCCAAATGGAGCTGCTGGAGTGTCTCTTCCCCTCTGAGGCCCAAAGCGGTGTGTCCCTGAGAGGGGTCCAGTACACAGAGGTAAAGGCCTCCCCACCAACAACATCCACAGAGTCCCAGTAATCAGATTACAACACATGGGCATAACAGATATCATAACAGCATGACAGATGTTCAAATCTATTTTTGGATCTAGGCATACATGGCATGTGCTTGTAGAGATGTTGATGTTCTCTCTGTCTGTCCCACCTCAGCTCCTGACATTTGATACCCCTGTCACCACTGAGGCACCATCTGCCACCTGCCTCCACCTGCTCTACAAACTGTCTGAACGCAGAGGGCCGCAGGTAAGAGCAATTTTAGTGAGATTAAAAGGTGCAGTGAATGCACCGTAATTCGTTTCCCAGTTCCGCTACCCAACTTGCGATAGCCTCAAGTAACTCAGACTTAATTCTGCATCAATGTCAAAGGGAGAATTGTGTAGATCTCACGTTAGGATTTGGCCCACAATGTACAGTACGTAGCAAATCCTGTACAGTGCCTGATACAGTACCCCCTTACATGCTTTCCTCCAGGGTGGACAGGTGCGTCTGAGCACCATGCCCAGGAAGGCTGACTTCCAGGTGGAGCTGGGGGCAGTCCGCTCTGAACTGGACATCAGCATCGTGGACCGCCTCAACTCTCTGCTACAGCCACAGAAACTGGTCACCACGGAGATGATGGCCTCTCACATGTACACATCCTATAATAAACACATCAGCTTGGTGAGGACCGTATTAATACCATCTTTACAGTCATAGCAGCGATTTTACCATGTGTACAATTTTGTACAACAATTTACCATGTGTTTAAGGAAGCTGCCTATTATTGCAATAACTATGAAAAAGTAAATCACCTCAAATGTTTCCGTCCACCCCATAGCACAAGGCCTTTACAGAGGTCTTCCTTGATGACAGCCGTACTCCAGCCAACACCCACGTGTCGATAAGAGTCAACGCTCCTGTGTTGAGCCTGGTGGTGCGCTTCCCCATCCCAGACCTGCGCTCGGACCAGGAGAGGGGCCCCTGGTTTAAGAAGTCCCTGCAGAAGGAGGTTCTGTACCTGGAGCTGGAGGACCTGGAGGTCAAGACAGAGTTCACTGGCGGAAGCTCCCCAGAGCAGACCAAGATGGAGCTCACCTTCAGGGAGCTAGTTGGTATGTATGTCACCCAGCTGCTAACGGACAGCGTAGCCTCAAAACCAGAACCACTTTTGATACATATCATTTATGTATTCATTTTTCATCCATTCGCACAGGAAAGTTCCAGGAAGAGGACCGGCCTGCAGCCAGGTTCCTCAGGGTCTCCCACACCATGGATGGAGACATGACTACCTCTGACAGCGGGAAGTTTGACTGGCCCAGGTACTGTATACCTGTCCATGTAGTACTGTACTGCTTCATGTCATACCTATACCTTGTCCCTTAGATGTTACTAACCCTCCCCTGCCCCTCCAGAGTGGTGCTGAAAGTCAACCCCACCGCTGTCCACTCCATCCTGGAGCGTGTGACTGCTGAGGAGGACGAGGGGGCTGAAGGCCACTCCCCAGAGGAGGAAGAGGAGGAGGGGGGAGGTTCCCACTCACTGAAGGATGTCTGTGATTTTGGGAAGCCTGAACCCTCCCCCTTCTCCTCACGCCGGGTCATGTATGAGAATGAGGAGGTAGGAACACATCATTATTGAAATACTAATTTGAACATAACTAGGACTGATTGATAAACGTTTAGTTAGGACTGGAAATTAAGGCAACTTGAATGATTGACATTTCTTCCCCTCTCCTTTAGATGGTCATTCCTGGTGATGTGGCTGAAATGACCGAGTTCCAGGAGAAAACCATGAGCAATTCCCGCTTTATCCTAGAGTTGTGCTTGCCAAATGTGCAATTATCATTACCCAACAAGGCCTTTTATGAGAAACTGCATAACAGGTACTGTGCACAAAAAACTGGGGAAACTAATCAAATGTTCTAGGAATGTGAAAACTATAGTATCACAATCAATCACTATAACTACTACAGCTTCTACCACAACTATTCCTTTGACTATTTACTATTAATTATTATTATGATCATTTTACTATGTCTCTAATCAATTTTACTATGTCTCTTCTTGCAGGATAAACAATGACCTGCTGTTATGGGAGCCCAACGCTCCCTCGCCGGTGGAGACAGTGGAGAACATGCCGTATGGAGTAGGGCTCTCTGTAGCAAGCCAGCTGATCAACGCTGCACACTACACCAAGGACAGCTTCAGCACGTTCCGCTCCACTGGCACTGAGGGTGAGACCTCTCCCCACGTAGTTACATAGTTCAACCAACATCTGCTACATCTCAACCTCATTCATGGTTTTCATACGCTGCTGTAAGTCTGTAGTGCACTCTGTTCGTGTGCATTAATATGAGATGTACGAATTTACCAGGTAAAAAAGTACTGAAATGTAATGGAAATTTTTTTATTCCGTCATATCAAATGAACTTGCCTACTCCTATGGCTGTGGTGTCCTGTGCTTGTAGAGGAGGACAGTGGCTCGGAGGAGGAGACCATGTACTACTACTCCCCTGCCTCTGAGCAGTGCTTCAGATCTCGCAGGAAGAAGAAGCCCAAGGCCCAGAGCAAGACCTCCCAGAGCCTGTTCTCTGTCATTCTCACTGTCAACCACGGCCTGGTTGCCCTGCAGACCAGCGCTAAGGTAACCCTGAGTTACAGTCACAATTATCTGTCATTTCTCAATTACATTGCATTTAAACAGCTGGGTATTTGCTGAGACTTTGGCTGACTGGTCCCCCAAATTTGTTTTTCTTTCCAGCAGGAGGATAAGACTATTTTGAATAACCGACATGGAGAGTTCTGGTTGGAGGTGAAGAATGGGGTCCTGTTCAGTGTTACACAGTACGAAGGCTACAAAGACCAGCACTACATCTGCTTCCACACCAGTAACATCTGTCTCTATCACCAAGGTAAGACTGGAGACATTAAGCCTGGTCACAAATTCGAGGTGGAGCTTCATAGATCCCCCTCTCCAAATGAGTAAATATGCCATTGTTCATGGTGATGCCACTGTGTCTGTTACATTGTATGGGTTTATATCTCTACCTAGGTCTGGTGGAGGGAGACACCCCAGTGTCCGACATCAAGCTGCCCTGCAGGACGCGTCCTCATTGGCTGGAGCCGGCCATCTACCCCTCTGAGACTGATAGGGCGTCCCCTTCGGAGGGCATCGGCCTGGAGGCCCACAGCATGCTGTCTGTCGCCGTCAAGATCTCCTCCCAAAACATGGAGCGCAATGTCAAGGTAGGTACAACCCATTTACGTTTCTATTAGTGGTGTGCATGGACTTGTGCCAGGATTTCAAACACTAGTCTGTTGCTTGAGAAAGAAAAGCCATGTAATTTTGGACAGACGGGGAGATATGTGCTCACTGTTAGTATGTGTTTCCTCTGCAGGAGTTCCTGGTTGCAGTAGGAGTGAGAGGGACCACACTCCAGCACCGAGTGGTTCCCCCCAAACTGGGCTGGTATGACCAGGTAAACTCAACACCTGTCCATCCAAGGTGTTTGTGTACAGTTTGAAGCATCCCTTGGATCCGATTAACCATACTCCTGTCTGATCAGTGTTTCTTTGTTGTGTGTAACAGATTGTGGACTTCCTGAATGTGTCTGATGAGCCTGTGTTGGGTTACACCCCCCCTGCCTCAGTCACCACCATTCATCTCCACCTGTGGAGCTGCTCACTGGACTACAGGTGCTGTTGACTAGACCAGTGTTTCCCAACTCCCTTCCTCGAGTATCCCCAAAGCACACATTTTTGTTGTTGCCCCGGCCAAACATACCTCATTCAACTCATTTAGGGCTTGATGATTAGTTGGGAAGTTGAATCAGGTGTGCTTGTCCAGGGCTACAATAAAAACGTGTACTGTTGGGGGTACTGGAGGACTGGAGTTGGGTAACACTGGACTAGATTACAGTGTAGATACGTCATGTTTATAACCTAACTCAGCTGTGTATCTGAATGATCAGCGTTTGTATTTTAACATGGTGTATATCCTCTCTGCAGACCCCTGTACCTGCCACTCAGGTCTCTGTTGGTAGTGGAGACATTCAGCATCTCCAGCAGTGTCTCCTTAGACCACTCATCCTCCACACTCAGGTACAGTTGCAGCACTGGAAATGTCATTGACAGAAAATCAGAAATAACATGTCATTGGACGTTTCTGTATTTCAGTATGTATTTTGTGATGGTTCTAGGATCATTTTGGATGAAGCAGCTTTGTTCCTCTCTGACAAGAGCAATGCCGTCTCTGTAAATCTAATGCGAGGTGAGACAAACTCTGGTAAAATGTATATGTTATTCAAAGATGCTTTAACATGCAGTCTGTTTAAACAGATTTGATTGGCCAGTAACCCATGTGCTTTATCTCCCAGACTATGTGCAGGTGGTAGACATGGGAACATTAGAGCTGAGGATCACTGCTGTCAAACCTGGAGTGGACGGAGAATTGGTAAGAGCTGACAACCTCTGATGATAAATGAGAAACATCTTTCCAACAACAAGTCTTCTCACTGTGTCTTTTCACAGACTGAGCCCAGATTTGAGCTGCGCTGCTCCAGTGATGTCATCCACATCAGAACGTGTTCAGACTCCTGTGCTGCTCTGATGAACCTCATCCAGTATGTGGCCAGCTATGGAGACTTAGTGCCCCCCCTGTGGGCCGGAGGCCAAAAGCACCTGTTCCAAGAATAGAGCCAAGGTCAGCATTTATACTCCTCAGATTTCTGTATGATTTATCATAGCCATTACGCTATGTTTTTCTGTAATATTCTATGTACACGCTGCTATTTCCTTGTTTTGCCTTCTTGCCAGGTTGCCCTCGCAAAATAGGTTTTTAACCTAAATGGGTCTTACCTGGTTAAATAAAGGTTAAATAAAATAAAAATATCAAACTGTTGCATTGAGAGTGAGGAGCAGTGACTGGGCAGTGGAGAATTTGTTGTATCTGTAAGTTGTGAGGCACATTTATGACACAACATAGCCATTACAATGACAGTATATCAAACTCTTGCCTTGAGAGAGTAGACCAGTCTGGATGGTGTAGAATTTATACTGGTGTAAATATTGTAGTGAGGCTATGGTCTTGTCCTTGTATGTTTGGCCAGTCGGAGGCTCCAAGCCGGCCCCCTTCCCAGGCTCCTCCGCTCCCCGAGGCTGAGCAGCAGATGCTGCAGGACCTGATGAGTGAGGCCATGGAGGAGACAGACAGCCAGCACGGCCTGGCCTTGCAACACAACGGTGAGACTACATATAACTAAAACGACTTGACATTTACTACATGCATAGTAGTTATCTGAGTGATTTGATGTTGTCCTTACTCTCCCCTACAGGAATCCATGAGGAGCAGAATCAAGACCTCGACCAGCCTCGCTCTGACCTCTTCCTTTTCCCAGACGAGAGCGGAAATCTGCCACAGGAGCTGAGTCCCACTTACCCTACCCTCCACTCACCCCTCATCACCCCTGCTCCTAGCCTGGTCCTAGAGACTGACGACTTCTGTATTCTAGAGACCCCGGGCTCCAGAGCAGACGTAAGAGCATGCATCTCATACAGTTACTTACTCAGCATGTTGAATAACTTGTACGTGTTTAGTCTCAGTCCATTGCATTGGTGTGATGGGTGTGTTTGTCTCAGGATCGGGACGAGGAGCCTGTGGTGAATAAGTTGATCCCAGACTCCATTGAGATCAAAGACGACCACTTTGGCCAGCCCCTGGACAGCAGCGACTCCAGCAGGGGTGCCCTGAACTTCCCTGTCCCCGAGGTGCGCTACCTCATCAGGGAGATCTCTGTCATCTGGCACCTCTACGGGGGGAAGGACTTTGGGAGTGCGACATTCACCTGCTCTCCAGCTAGAAGTTGGGGGTGAGTGTGTGTGTGTGTGCGCTTTGGACTGTTCAACTGTTCTTTATTACAACAACAATACTGGGAGATGGGATTGAACTGAGGCTGTGTCAAATGTCAGGATGGATAGAGAAAGAAACGGATGTAGAGTAATGGTCAAAAGGTGCAATAGATGATCAAGTGTCCTCTGTTTTGATGATGTTGAAGGTGTACCCCACACAGCTCCCCCTCCCAGACCCCAGTCAGACAGGGCAGGGGTGGAGGACGGGCCGGAGGAGGGCGGGGCAGGAACCCTGACATCCTGATGGAGATCCAGCTCAGCAAGGTAAGAGGACATGACACAACCGCCCCTCTCCTGTAACAATACAACATGTTGCCTAGGAGTCCGAAGCTAAAGTTTAGGACCTCTTGCTCTTTTCCCAGGTGCGGTTCCAACATGAGGTGTACCCCCAGGCCTCAGTGGCCTCTTGTTCGGTGGCGGACCAGCCTGTGTCCCGGCAGGTGTTCATTGTCCAGGACCTGGAGATCAGAGACAGACTGGCCACCTCCCAGATGAACAAGTTCTTGTACCTCTACTCCAGCAAGGAGATGCCCCGCACGGCCCACTCCAACATGGTGAGGGACACTGTGCATCTAGAGTAGTGTCCATGTGATTGTGGTCACATCAAAGACATGGTAGTGGTTAAGCCATGTTAATGCTGAATATGTTTTTGTTTTCTTGCAGCTGACAGTTCGGGCTCTGCACATGTGTCCAGAGACCGGTCAAGCACCCCAGGAATGCTCTCTGCGAGTCTCACTCATGCCCCTTCGCCTCAACATCGATCAGGTGAGCCAGAGAAAAACTTGCTTGTTTTATCCAGTTAATCATACATCCTTCTGAGGTTTGCAAAAGATTTCAAGCCATGGAAATGGGAGGCTTTCACATACTCTCATTTAACACGTTTTCAGTTATACTATTGATCCCTTTGAAATGACACAGGCTTTTTATTTTCATGTAGGATGCATTATTTTTCTTGAAAGACTTCTTTGCTAGCCTTGCTGCTGAAGTTGAGATGTTCTCTCCACCTGATCAAGAAGGTAAAATATCCTTGGCTAGTATTGTATGAGCAATAAAGCCTACTGAATAGCATTTATTCACAGCTTATTTCATGATTTGTCGCTGAGCAAAATGTTGACCCTCAATGATGCATTTGTTGGTCTGCAGCACTGTGTGTTTCAATGAAGAAGCCGTCTGCCCCAGATGTCTCGTGCAGCTTCACTAAGAATGGAAGTGGGAGCCAGGACCCTGCCCCTATCATCTCTGTGCCTGCCCACAGCCGCTCCAGCCTCAGCCTCAACGGCCTCACCCTGCCCAGTAACAGCGACTCTGGGGAAGCTGAGGCTGCTACTGTATTTTCCTTCAATGACCAGCCCATCTTCTTCAGGTAGGTGTCCTTACTATGTGTATAGGTGGACAAGTACACTATATATACAAAGGTATGTGGACACCCCTTCAAATGAGTGGATTCTGCGATTTCAGCCACATCCGTTGCTGACAGGTGTATAAAATCGAGCACACAGCCATGCAATCTCCACAGACAAACATTGGCAGTAGAATGGCCTTACTGAAGAGCTCAGTGACTTTCAACGTGGCACCACCGTCATAGGATGCCACCTTAACAACAAGTCAGTTAGTCAAATTTCTGCCCAGCTAGAGCTGCCTCGGTCAACTGTAAGTGCTGTTATTGTGAAGTGGAAACATCTAGGAGCAACAACTGCTCAGCCGCGAAGTGGTAGGCCACACAAGCTCACAGAACGGGACCGCCGAGTGCTGTAGTGCGTATAAATTGTCTGTCCTCGGTTTCAACACTCACTACCGAGTTCCAAACAGCCTCTGGAAGCAACGTCAGCGCAATAACTGTTCGTCGGGAGCTTCATGAAATGGGTTTCCATGGCCAAGCAGCCACACACGAGCCTAAAATCACCATGCGCAATACCAAGCGTCGGCTGGAGTGGTGTAAAGCTCGCCGCCATTGGACTCTGGAGCAGTGGAAACGCATTCTCTGGAGTGATGAATCACGCTTAACCATCTGGCAGTCCGATGGACAAATCTGGGTTTGGCGGATGCCAGGAGAACGCTACCTGCCCCAATGCATAGTGCAAACTGTAAAGTTTGGTGGAGGAGGAATAATGGTCTGAGGCTGTTTTTCATGGTTCGGGCTAGGCCCTTTAGTTCCAGTGAAGGGAAATCTTAACGCTACAGAACACAATGACATTCTAGACTATTCTGTGCTTCCAAATTTGTGGCAACAGTTTGGAGAAAGCCCTTTCCTGTTTCAGCATGACAATGCCCCCGTGCACAAAGCAAGGTCCATAAAGAAATGGTTTGTCGAGATTGGTGTGGAAGAACTTGCCTGGCCTGCACAGAGCCCTGACCTCAACCCCATCAAACACCTTTGGAATTAATTGGAACGCCGACTGTGAACCAGGCCTAATCGCCCAACATCAGTGACCGACCTCACTAATACTCTTGTGGCTGAATGGAAGCAAGTCCCCGCAGCGATGTTCCAACATCTAGTGGAAAGCCTTCCCAGAAGAGTGGAGGCTATAGCAGCAAAGAGGGGACCAGCTCCATATTAATGCCCATGATTTTGGAATAAGACGAGCAGGTGTCCATATACTTTTGGTTATGTAGTGTACCTGATGTCATTTGGGTTAAGCCAAAACTTATCTTCAACTTACCATGTGTTCTACTACACACATCATTGTGTTTATGGATTTTGTTAGCAAATTATGAAATATTTGTTTGATTTCCCTCAGAGAGTTTCGGTTTACCTCTGAAGTTCCCATTCGTCTGGATTACCATGGGAAACATGTTTCAATGGAGCAGGTATGTTTTAGCAATATCTTACAAACACTGCATACTAACACTTTCAGTTTTGTGTTCAGTGATTCCAGTGTTGACAGGCTTGACAAATGGTGTTGTTCGGCCAACATATTGTGCAATATGTTGGTTCACAAGCTCTGATGGACCGTATTCAAATGGATAAGCACATTCCATATAAGTAGAACATTTCTTACCCTCACAGTAGCACATTTTGCTCATGTTTCCTGCGCTGCTCCTCTGTTTCAGGGAACGTTTGCTGGTATTGTGATTGGGTTGACACAGCTGAATTGCTCAGAGCTGAAACTAAGGCGATTATGCTACAGACAAGGGTAGGTTTAATCAGTACAGTCCCCTCCTATTAGTATGATTCGTTATGATTGGACCTACCAACACTTAATTGGGTCATTTGTTATGTTAAATGATGACACACAAGCTATTTATGTATAGTATGAATAATACAGTATGCAGTAACCATGAGGACATTCTTGATTTTCTTCCAGACTGTTGGGTGTGGATAAGCTCTTTTCCTATGCAATAAATGAGTGGCTGAATGACATCAAGAAGAACCAGCTGCCAGGACTGTTGGGTGGAGTGGGACCTATCCACTCCCTGGTACAGTTGGGTAAGTAGGACATGTATAAGTTGATAAACTGGTGTTGAGGCACTAATGTCTTTACCTATTTATCAGACAGCATGTTGCATGTGGTTTAATTTGGAAGGGCTTTCTTGAATGATTAACTGGATCTTTGTAAGAAGATTCTGTCTAAGCCTCTCAGCACCACACAAGATACAATGACAAAGATCATGCTTTTGGCCGATTGCGCCACACTGGAAATTAGTCTGTAAGCTTTTGGATCAACATAAAGATACTATTGTTATACTTACACTGAATAAAAATATATATGCAACATGTAAAGTGTTGATCCCATGTTTCATGAGGTGAAATAGAAGATCCCAGAAATGTTCCATACGAACTAAAAGTTTATTTCTCTCAAATTTGGTGCACAAATTTGTTTACATACCTGTTAGTGAGCATTTCTCCTTTGCCAAGATAATCCATTCACCTGACAGGTGTGTCATATCAAGAAGCTGATTAAACAGCATGATCATTACACAGGTGCACCTTGTGTTGGGGACAATAAAGGGCCACTCTTAAATGTGCAGTTTTGTCACAACACAATGCCACAGATGACTCAAGTTTGAGGGAGCGTGCATTTGGCATGCTGACTGCAGGAATGTCCACCAGAGCTGTTGCCAGAGAATTGAATGTTCATATCTTTACCTTAAGCCACCTCCAACGTCGTTTTAGAGAATTTGGCAGTACGTCAAGCCGGCCTCACAACCGCAGACCACGTGTATGGCGTTGTGTGGGTGAGCGGTTTGCTGATGTCAACATTGTGAACAGAGTGCCCCATGGGGGCGGTGGGGTTATGGTATGGGCAGGCATTTGTTACGGACAATGAACACAATTGCATTTTATAGATTTTTGTCGTGCCATTTATCCGCGGCCATCACCTCATGTTTCATTATGATAATGCATTGCCCCATGTCGCAAGGATCTGTACACAATTCCTGTAAGCTGAAAATGTCCCAGTTCTTCCATGGCCTGCATACTCACCAGACATGTCACCCATTGAGCATGTTTGGGATGCTCTGGATAGACGTGTACGACAGCGTGTTCTAGTTCCCACCAATATCCAACAACTTCGCACAGCCATTGAAGAGGAGTGGAACAACATTCCACAGGCCACAATCAACAGCCTGATCAACTCTATGTGAAGGAGATATGTCGCGCTGCATGAGGCAAATGGTGGTCACACCAGATACTGACTGGTTTTCTGATCCACTACCTTTTTTTTTTTTTAAGGTACAGTATCTGTGACCAACAGATGCATATCTGTATTACCAGTCATGTGAAATCCGTAGATTAGGGCCTAATGAATTCATTTCAATTGACTGATTTCCGTATATGAACTGTGACTCTTGAACTGTAAAATGTTTTTAAATGTTGCGTTTATGTATTTTAGGGTATTTTATTGTGTAGATGTATTAATAAACTAAACTAAAATCAGAAATCCTGATCTAATCAGCCTTTTTTGTAAATAATAACAAAATGTTCCTCCTGTGTTCATGTTCAGTCCAGGGATTTAGGGATCTGGTGTGGCTCCCGATAGAGCAGTACCGGAAGGATGGTCGGGTTGTACGTGGATTGCAGCGGGGTACTGCCTCCTTTGGAACCTCCACAGCTATGGCTGCTCTAGAGCTTACCAACCGCATGGTGCGGACTATCCAGGTAAAAAAAACACCCCAGTCCAGATAGAAATATTCAAATGTAGGTTGTAACTGTCTTGCATCTGAACTTCTGTGTTACCAGTGTGTCGGGCTCCATAATATAACGCAAAACTATTTGTTTTATTTGTGCTCTTCAGGCAGCAGCAGAGACTGCCTATGACATGGTATCTCCAGGATCCGATGAGAGGGAAACGAAGAGAATAAAACGCTTCTCTCATTACCGATTTGCTCATCAGCCAGTTGATCTAAGAGAAGGAGTAGCCAATGCTTACAGTGTTGTAAAAGAGGTAAATTGCAAGATGCTAGCAATTTGCATCTCATCTGCTTGTAGTGCTGCTTAAAGTGTAACACACTACAAGATTGAATACAGGATGAAGTTACCTATTAGGACTATTATAAATCATGTTCAATGTGTGTGTCCCCACAGGGAATCACGGACACTGCTCTGACCATCTATGACACGGCCACGCGGGAGCACGAGCAGCGTGGGATGACCGGGGCAGTGGGTGGGGTCCTTAGACAGCTCCCCCCAGCTGTGGTCAAGCCTCTCATCATGGCCACCGAGGCCACCTCCAACGTACTGGGGGGCATGAGGAACCAGATTCACCCAGACGCACGCCAGGAGGAATCCCAGAAATGGCGGCAAGGGGAGGAGTGATGGCCGACTGCTGTCCAATGACTGAACAGATGATTGTGCGAAATCCGAGGGCAGTATATTTTGTTTCGAAGAAGACACTCTCTCTCAGCTGTTGCAAGGCCCATTGAGTCTTACAAGCTGGAAGGAAGCTCTGCAGATTTAACTTTCTGATGCAAAAAATCTAATCAAATTTGCTTCGTAGACAACCGGCGTAGTAGACTAACAGTGAAATGCTTACTTACGGGTACTTTTCCAACAATGCAGAGTTAAAGATAAGATAAAAAATCAAATAGAAATAGTGACATGAGGAATAAATACACAGTGAATAACAAATAAAAATAAAGAGTAATATAGGGAGTAGAAAATAACATGGCTATACAGTGAGGGGAAAAAAGTATTTGATCCCCTGCTGATTTTGTACGTTTGCCCACTGACAATGAAATGATCAGTCTATAATTTTAATGGTAGGTTTATTTGAATAGTGAGAGACAGAATAACAAAAATAAAATCCAGAAAAACGCATATCAAAAATGTTATAAATTGATTTGCATTTTAATGAGGGAAATAAGTATTTGACCCCTCTGCAAAACATGACTTAGTACTTGGTGGCAAAACCCTTGTTGGCAATCACAGAGGTCAGATGTTTCTTGTAGTTGGCCACCAGGTTTGCACACATCTCAGAAGGGATTTTGTCCCACTCCTCCTTGCAGATCTTCTCCAAGTCATTAAGGTTTCGGGGCTGACGTTTGGCAACTCGAACCTTCAGCTCCCTCCACAGATTTTCTATGGGATTAAGGTCTGGAGACTGGCTAGGCCACTCCAGGACCTTAATGTGCTTCTTCTTGAGCCACTCCTTTGTTGCCTTGGCCGTGTGTTTTGGGTCATTGTCATGCTGGAATACCCATCCACGATCCATTTTCAATGCCCTGGCTGAGGAAAGGAGGTTGTCACCCAAGATTTGACAGTACATGGCCCCGTCCATCGTCCCTTTGATGCGGTGAAGTTGTCCTGTCCCCTTAGCAGAAAAACACCCCCAAAGCATAATGTTTCCACCTCAATGTTTGACGGTGGGGATGGTGTTCTTGGGGTCAAAGGCAGCATTCCTCCTCCTCCAAACACGGCGAGTTGAGTTGATGCCAAAGAGCTCCATTTTGGTCTCATCTGACCACAACACTTTCACACAGTTCTCCTCTGAATCATTCAGATGTTAATTGGCAAACTTCAGACGGGCATGTATATGTGCTTTCTTGAGCAGGGGGACCTTGCGGGCGCTGCAAGATTTCAGTCCTTCACGGCGTAGTGTGTTACCAATTGTTTTCTTGGTGACTATGGTCCCAACTGCCTTGAGATCATTGACAAGATCCTCCTGTCTAGTTCTGGGCTGATTCCTCACCGTTCTCATGATCATTGCAACTCCACGAGGTGAGATCTTGCATGGAGCCCCAGGCCGAGGGAGATTGACAGTTATTTTGTGTTTCTTCCATTTGCGAATAATCACACCAACTGTTGTCACCTTCTCACCAAGCTGCTTGGCGATGGTCTCCATTCCAGTCTTGTGTAGGTCTTCAATCTTGTCCCTGACATCCTTGGAGAGCTCTTTGGTCATGGCCATGGTGGAGAGTTTGGAATCTGATTGATTGATTGCTTCTGTGGACAGGTGTCTTTTATACAGGTAACAAGCTGAGATTAGGAGCACTCCCTTTAAGAGTGTGCTCCTAATCTCAGCTCGTTACCTGTATAAAAGACACCTGGGAGCCAGAAATCTTTCTGATTGAGAGGGGGTCAAATACTTATTTCCCTCATTAAAATGCAAATCAATTTATAACATTTTTGACATGCGTTTTTCTTGATTTTTGTTGTTGTTATTCTGTCTCTCACTGTTCAAATAAACCTACCATTAAAATGATAGACTGATCATTTATTTGTCAGTGGGCAAATGTACAAAATCAGCAGGGGATCAAATACTTTTTTCCCTCACTGTATACAGGATGGAGTATATAGCCAAAATGTAATGGCGCTGAAAAGTCAGAGCTGGTGTAAATTACACAATTCATCTCGTAGACTTGTTGCAGTTTGAACTAGTGTGAATCAGCTTGTATTACCTTCCTAGCACATTTTCCCCTGCAGTGCCTTCATGGTAATATACTGTTGTACTACCATTATGTTAGATAGAGGGACTCGTAGGAACACTTAATGTAGAGTCAGAGGTCACTGTCATATGTCCCTCCCTACTGTAGATCATAATTGACTACCTTTGCTTTAAGGATAGGACTGGATAGTTTTAAATGTTGAGAATCTTTCCATAACGGTAACAGTAATGTACCATATCCTAAAAAGGGACAGAGATAAGGACTGGTGTCAGGAAGCTCAGCATTTCATTGAATCATTTTTTTAAACAATCGTGATTACAGCATGTCTGTAGTTTGTCATATTCAACATTATCTTATCCTACCTGGTGTCAAATAACACTACTATCTCGACCAGAGATGCCGTAAGCTATTGAAGTGTATGTCCCGTAACATTTTGTAAAGTTTAGCATATGTGGATATGTATGTGTGAGCTTTATAACGTTATATGTAACATTTCTTGCAGAGAGCATCCTAAAAGAGTCTCAGCATTGTGGAATGTGTTGCGGTTAAAATATATAGGTCATCTGCACTTTTAATCACAAGTGATGTGAAGGTCACTTGTTACCAGTACAATGGGGGTGTTAGACTTTTTCCTGATTTATGGCTGTTCAGTGACTTTTTGAAATACATTATAAGAGAATTGCAGGCTGCAGTAGTACGGTATAATTGCCTGTGTAGCAAGTTCTTTAATGTGCGAAGTAGACTGCTTCTCAATTTTACATTTTTCAAATGTCCGTGTGAAACTTCATTTTTTCATTTTCCTAAATCGGCTTGTGCTGTCTGGTCTTAAATATCATGACCATGTTTGCAATATTGGTCTAGTTTGTAGGCCTATGTGCTTATTTTGGAGATAGTTGATGTGATAATGCAGCCTTTAAATTTGCTCTGCACACCTGAGTTGTTTTGGACAATGGTTCAATACAAAAATATTTAACTGTTTGTAATGGGAATTGTAATTTATGTGATAATAGAGAATATTGTTTATTGTACATAAATGTACAGTTGATCTTCACAATTTGTATTTAAAGCATGAACTATTCTTAAAAGGGAAATAAACTAAAGTCCACTGAAATATCTTGCCTCTTGAGAAAGAAAACCAAAGATTTTTATAACTACACTCATTGTTCTGTGGCCAAACGTTATTTCCTTTTATAATAATGTTCATCAGTGGAGCCTAAAAAATAGGACACCCTCCCCAGGTTGGTTACTATAGGAACAGCGTGAAGGCTACAAGTGCGGCGCCAGTTGGTAAGTTTGTTGTACTACAGTCGTGGTCAAAAGTTTTGAGAATGACACAAGTATTGGTCTTCACAAAGTTTGCTGCTTCAGTGTTTTTAGATATTTTTGTCAGATGTTACTATGGTATACTGAAGTATAATTACAAGCATTCCATAAGTGTCAAAGGCTTTTATTGACAATTACATTAAGTTTATGCAAAGAGTCAATATTTGCAGTGTTGACCCTTCTTTTTCAAGACCTCTGCATTCTGCCCTGGCATGCTGTCAATTAACTTCTGGGCCACATCCTGACTGATGGCAGCCCATTCTTGCATAATCAATGCTTGGAGTTTGTCAGAATTTGTGGGTTTTTGTTTGTCCACCTGCCTCTTGGATTGAGCACAAGTTCTCAATGGGATTAAGGTCTGGGGAGTTTCCTGGCCATGGACACAAAATGTCGATGTTTTGTTCCCCGAGCCACTTAGTTATCACTTTTGCCTTATGGCAAGGTGCTCTATCATGCTGGAAAAGGCATTGTTCGTCACCAAACTGTTCTTGGATGGTTGGGAGAAGTTGCTCTCTGAGGATGTGTTGGTACCATTCTTTATTCATGGCTGTGTTCTTAGGTGAAATTGTGAGTGAGCCCACTCCCTTGGCTGAGAAGCAACCTCACAGGTTGCTTTACTGTTGGCATGACACACGACTGATGGTAGCGCTCACCTTGTCTTCTCCGGACAAGCTTTTTTCCGGATGCCCCAAACAATCGGAAAGGGGATTCATCAGAGAAAATGACTTTACCCCAGTCCTCAGCAGTCCAATCCCTGTACCTTTTGCAGAGTATCAGTCTGTCCCTGATGTTTTTCCTGGAGAGAAGTGGCTTCCTCGCTGCCCTTCTTGACACCAGGCCATCCTCCAAAAGTCTTCGCCTCACTGTGCGTGCAGATGCACTCACACCTGCCTGCTGTCATTCCTGAGCAAGCTCTGCACTGGTGGTGCCCCGATCCCGCAGCTGAATCAACTTTAGGAGACGGTCCTGGCGCTTGCTGGATTTTCTTGGGCACCCTGAAGCCTTCTTCTCAACAATTGAACCTCTCTCCTTGAAGTTCTTGATGATCTGATAAATGGTTGATTTAGGTGCAATCTTACTTGCAGCGATATCCTTGCCTGTGAAGCCCTTTTTGTGCAAAGCAATGATGACGGCACGTGTTTCCTTGCAGGTAACCATGGTTAACAGAGGAAGAACAATGATTTCAAGAACCACCCTCCTTTTAAAGCTTCCAGTCTGCTATTCTAACTTAATCAGCAGGACAGAGTGATCTCCAGCCTTGTCCTTGTCAACACTCTCACCTGTGTTAATGGGAGAATCACTGACATGATGTCAGCTGGTCCTTTTGTGGCAGGGCTGAAATGCAGTGGAAATGTTATTTTTTTCACACTGGAAGCAAACAAAGAGTAAGCTAAAATAGTTATGGTATAGTCCTGAATTAGTCAGTCAGCAGAGAGTTAAAGTGACAATACAAAACCTGGTTTTATGGACACAATCGATTTAGTTTTTTCCTGTACAGTGCTATATTTGTACCATATAGTGTCCAGGGGCCCACGCAAACGTTTTGTTCAAACTCATCTGTTTTGTATGCTATGGACTCTAGTGAGTAGATACTTTTGGTAGATACATAATTTTGTCTGTTCCAATATGAAACAACTATTGAATTTACGTTTAATCCTGGTGAATCCCGGTTTCAACTGTACTGGGCAGATGGCAGACAGCGTGTATGGCGTTGTGTGGGTGAGCGGTGTGCTGATGTCAATATTGTGAACAGAGTGCCCCATGGTGGCGGTGGGGTTATGGTATGGGCAGGCATAAGCTACGGACAACGACAGCAATTTGAAAGCACAGAGATACCGTGACGAGATCCTGAGGCCCATTGTCGTGCAATTCATCCACCGCCATCATGTTTCAGCATGATAATGCACAGGCCCATGTTGCAACGATCTGTACACAATTCCTGGAAGCAGAACATTTCCCAGTTCTTCCATGGACTGCATACTCACCAGACATGTCACCCATTGAGCATGTTTGGGATGCTCTGGACCAACAGTGTGTTCCAGTTCCCGCCAATATCCAGCAATTTCGCACAATCATTGAAGAGGAGTAGGACAACATTCCACAGGCCACAATCAACAGCCTGATCAACCCTATGCGAAGGAGATGTCATGCTGCATGAGGCAGATGGTGGTCACACCAGATACTGACTGGTTTTCTGTTCCACGACCCCTACTTTTTTTAAAGGTATATGTGACCAACAGCATACATGCATCTGTATTCCCAGTCATGTGAAATCCATAGATTAGGGCGTAAGGAATGTATTTCAATTGACTGATTTCTTAAATGAAGTATAACTCAGTAAAATCTTTGAAATGTTTGCATGTTGCGTTTATATTTTTGTTCTTTGTAAATTGATGGGCCACTCTATAAGGGCCGCCAAATGAGCAGCGACGCTCCTCTGGGTGTAAACTGTGGATTTGCGAACTTGAAGGGCTCTTGAGTACAATGGACCCCCCCCCCCCCCCCCCCCTTTTTTTTTTTTTTACAGCGACACAACGTACAGATAATTTTGTATGGAGCAATAAATGATAGTACACACAAAAAACATTGTTGACCATTTAGGCTTTACAAATTACATATCTTATAGAAATGCGTTTAATTATTCGTTGTGTGATAACTATAGTATAAAATATATCGATAATTGTGCACATTTTACATACTTTTTTGCCCTACTGTAATTATTAATTTACAAAATATACAGGATGGGACTTTTATTCTAAAGGATTCCAAAAATCCATGACCCGGAAGTACTTATCTATTATTGCTTGATTTACAGCGGTAATTGAAGCTACTAAGCAGGAATCCAACAAATCATTATTGCATGATTATATCTGGTAGTTTGTATTTATTTATAACTTGTTGACTAGTTACAACATGATGATGTCGAAATGCATAACGATTCCAAAGAATGTCAGATGATCCTACGTTTACGACTAGCTCAGCTGGCTAGGTAACTATAGCTAGCTAGCGCACAGCTCAGAATGGCCAGTGGGTGAAGTCATTGCGCAGCGGGGACAGCAGCTTGCTAGTAGCAGATACAGTGTATCTTGAGTTGTTACATTTTAGCATCTAGCTGCTGCAATGAAATTGGTTTGAAATCTGTTGCAATTATGTGACCAAGAAGCTATCTAGGAATGTTGCTTTGTAACCAAGCGCAAACCAGTCGGACTTTGAAGTTAGCTATCTAAATGAAATCAGTTTAGTGGTCGCGTACGCAGATTTGCAGATGCAGCGAAATGTTTCTAGCTCCAACAATGAAGCAATATCTAGCAATACAATATCAATACACACATAACACCCCCACAAAAATAAGAACAGCTTTTCTGTTTGTTTTTACGTTGGTGAAAATTAATTCTGGTGTCTTTTCGTTTTCTTTGATGATACAGGATCTGAATGCCTTCCAGACAGATTGACAGTGTCTTCTAATATGATGGTAAACTGCACTTTATGGTGCGTTCAAGACAACTCGGAACTCGGAAAAATACGAAGTCAAATAATGGTCGGAGCTCTAGAAAGAGGTTCGAATTCCGAGTTGGATGACCGTTCAAAACTATTTTTCCCAGCTCGTTTTTTTCTGAGTTTCCAGTTGTCTTGACTACACTGGAGTCAGCGATTTCCGAGTTCCAAGTTGTTTTGAACGCGGCATTAGTGCTGAAGTATGTCTGTGTGCGTGTGTGTGTGTAAGAGAAAGGGGAGGGATAGAGAGGGGGTTGGGGACTTCATACAGTACGCTATTTAGAGCGAGACTGAAAGGTGTTTATGCATTCATTTTAGAGCTGGATAAATTAGAGGCTACTTCAGAGCATCAATCCAGATTGACAGTGTTGTTGGTTTGCTCTTTCCCTGGGATAACGTCAGAGACCAACTAGACGGGTAACTCACTTGTTCCTGCTTCCTACTTTGATATTTTGCTTTATAGCTACTGTACTTCATTCCTGCAATATGCTATAACTAAATACAATTTAAATACATCCTAAAAATGTTGGATAGTTGTAATGCATTGCCTGTTTCATGTATGCCTTACATTGCACAATTGTATTGTATGTTGAATTGTGTTTAAAAGTCAGAATGGTCATACTGTCTGTGTACAGGCTCCAGAGCAGAGGCCTCTCTAACTCCAACCACCCCATAAGTAACCCTGATATGGATGGAACCAATGACACAGATGGGTCCAACCAGCCAGCTGAGGTAAACATCATGTCCACATAAAAAAGTACATGGCAATGAAATGAAAATACTGCAAGCACCTATATGCTTGTTTCACGCTCGTATGTGTGTTTTCAGGTTAATCAGGAGTCTCCTGCCGGGCAGCAGGCCATGGGGGGAGATGTTGAGGAGAACAACAGCAGTGGGAATAGCCAGAACCCTGGAGAGAGAAAAGGTGAGCCACTTTAGTCTAGTGTTTAACACCCACTGCCACTAAAGAGAACTCATAGCTTTCAACCATGTTCTGGAGTCTGTTGTCTGTATGGCAACTTAATAAAATAATGAGCATGCTGAAAAATATATATTTGACAAAGGATCTCGAATTGAGTAATAATATCACACATTTTTCAACACACTCTGCTCATGTTTGGTCCCATGTTGTCCTCACATATAGTCTATGGTTGTGCTCTAGCCCAAATGCCACCGCTGAAGCCTCCCTCCACGTGGACGTCCATGGCGATGAAGGAGCTCAAGTCCAAGCTGCGAATGGAGAAGGACAGTGTGGTGACAGTGAACCGAGGAAACATTATGACAGTGCATATGCCCACTGTTCCTGAGGGAAAGCGGGTGTGCTGGGAGTTTGCCACAGATAGCTATGACATAGGCTTTGGAATCTACTTTGACTGGAACCCTGTCACCAACCGGGCCATCACGGTCCACATCAGCGAATCCAGTGATGACGAAGAGGAGGAAGATCAGCTAGAAGGTCAGTAGGCACCTCCTCTTGTTTTGAAATTTGTTTAGTTCCAAACTAATTTAATACTTCATAATCTCAATTTTATTTGAAAATATTTGAGTATCTTTAATAATAACTTCTCATTCATTTAGTTGAGATTGTAATTGTCTTTAAGACCATTTGTGTTGTCTCCTGCAGGACTTGTCAACACAGGGGATGTTGAGAAGGGGTCTAAATCATTGGCTAACTCCAACCTAGGGGAAATATTACCTGTGTATCGTCAGGACAGTCACATGGCAGTGCAAGGTGGTAGTCACGAGTATCCAGGAGAAGGCACTTACCTTCTGAAGTTTGATAACTCCTACTCATTATGGAGAAATAAGACTCTGTACTACAGAGTGTATTACAGTGCCTGAGGAGCTGTAACCGTCAACTATTGCATATGAATGTATGACTTCCAAGAATTATATCTGTTTTTGATTCCATAGAATATGTTATGGTTAATTATAGGTGCATATATTTTTCATCATAATCAGCTGGTGTTGCTCGCTCTTAGGCTACACGTAAAATCTGAGAGGACCAGATAATTATGAAGTGGGACATTTTGCTCATATGTTTTACAGTGTTTATAGAGCAAGATTTGACGAAGCCTTGTGTTTGTGCCATGTTCTGTTTAAAAGTTATGTGCAGTGAGTTAAGGCAAATTGCCCATATTTTAAACATTTTATATATAGTATATATTAATCAAACACAACATTTCTGTGGCGGCAGCAATCAAGGAACACTGATAAAAAGATGATTGCTAGGTGGAAATCAGGAGAGGTGCGCCAAAGAACTGTAATTATTATTTTGTTTTATTTTTTGCTACACATTATTTGCTATCATATAACGTTAATGTGTACTTCATGTATGTCGCTTTTTTGCCTTAAATATTTTTTGTATGATAATCCAACTGCAGTTAAACCAATATTCCGCACAATAATTCAATTGTTTTTCTGCATACTGTGATTAGAATGAGTGATGATTGTCAATGAAAGTATATTGAATGTTGCTCCGAGTCCAATGCTAAAGCAAATTGTCACAGCCTGTCTTTTATGACACAAATAAAAGCCATCCCCTATCACAAAAAGCTTGTATTATGTTACATTGGTTCAATATTTACATTGCCAAGTCCCTGTTTAGTTTGCTGGTTGTCAGGCGTTGGGTAGATCTTTGTGGACAATAGCATAAGACTATTGTAGATACTAACAGATTGAATATATTTCTATACTGAATAAAAATATAAACACAACATGCAACAATTTCAAAGATTTTACTGACTTACAGTTCATAGCAGGAAATCAGTCAATTGAAATTCATCTAATCTATGGATTTCACATGACTGGGCAGGGGCGCAGTCATGGGTGGACCTGGGAGGGCATAGGCCCACCCACTTGGGAGCCAGGTCCACCCACTGGGGAGCCAGGCCCAGCCAATCAGAATGAGTTGTTCCCTACAAAAGGGCTTTATTACTGACATAAATAGTCCTCAGCATAACATTTTTGAGAAATAAGCTTTTTGTGCGTATGGAAAATGTCTGGGATCTTTTATTTCAGCTCATGAATCATGGCACCAACACTTTATATGTTGCGTTTATATTTTTGTTCAGTATAAATGTATGATTTGGATCGTCCCTTTAAAGTACAATTTTATGCACAGATCTCTGTAAAGGAAGATCATTTTGAGTGTGTGTCTTTTCTGTGTTGTAGCTCTGTATGCACCTAATCATGTTCTAAATTTGATTATAGCCGCCCATACGTGGTTCCAAAATGTTTTGGTACCTCATCCATCTGTGTTGTGCATGTTTCCATGTATCATATGAATTGTGCTGCTAAAATATAAGGAACTGAAAATAAGTTTCCAATGTTTGCTGTGCTTTGTACTGTATGCAGTTCTGTTTCTTATAAGCTTTCCTTTAAAAAAAAATCACAATTAAGAAGAAAAATTCTCATTTGAATTATGGTGTTTTACATTTTCTACAGCTCATTTGCTTTATGTTCCCATGAAGTAGTAAGGTATAGAGAGCTTGGTCTCGGCCAATGATTATCTTTCAAGATCAATCAACGATTTTTGGGTCATGTATATATATATATATATATATATATATATTAATTACACTAATGACTGGCTATGTGAAAGCATTGGTGTGTTAACCTGAGTGCTACATAACCCCCAACTGAAAGCATATATTGAGTAATTTTGGAGTATAGGGGTCGAGAGCTTCAAGTTAATTAGTGTCCACATCACTAACAAACTATCATGGTCCAAACACACCAAGACAGTCGTGAAGAGGGCAAGACAACGCCTATTCCCCCTCAGGAGACTGAAAAGATTTGCCATGGGTCCTCAGATCCTCAAAAAGTTCTACAGCTGCACCATCGAGAGCATCCTGACTGGTTGCGTCACCGCTTGGAATGGCAACTGCTCGGCATCCAACCGCAAGGCGCTACAGATGGTAGTGCGTATGGCCCAGTACATCACCGGGGCCAAGCTTCCTGCCACCCAGGACCTCTATACTAAGCGTTGCCTGAGGAAGGCCCTAAAAATTGTCAAAGACCCCAGCCACCCTAGTCTTTTTTTCTTTGCTACCGCACGGCAAGCAGTACCGGAGCGTCCAGGTCCAAAAGGCTCCTTAACAGCTTCTACCCCCAAGCCATAAGACTGCTAAACAGTTAATCAAATGGCTACCCAGACTATTTGCATTGACCCCCTTTTTTACACTGCTGCTACTCCCTGTTTTATCTATGCTTAGTCACTTTACCCATACCTACATGTACATTGTACCTCAATTAACTCCACTAACCTGTACCCCCACACATTGACTCTGTATCGGTACCCCGTGTATACAGTGGGGAAAAAAAGTATTTAGTCAGCCACCAATTGTGCAAGTTCTCCCACTTAAAAAGATGAGAGAGGCCTGTAATTTTCATCATAGGTACATGTCAACTATGACAGAAAAAATGAGAAAGAAAATCACATTGTAGGATTTTTAATGAATTTATTTGCAAATTATGGTGGAAAATAAGTATTTGGTCAATAACAAAAGTTTCTCAATACTTTGTTATATACCCTTTGTTGGCAATGACACAGGTCAAACGTTTTCTGTAAGTCTTCACAAGGTTTTCACACACTGTTGCTGGTATTTTGGCCCATTCCTCCATGCAGATCTCCTCTAGAGCAGTGATGTTTTGGGGCTGTCGCTGGGCAACACAGACTTTCAACTCCCTCCAAAGATTTTCTATGGGGTTGAGATCTGGAGACTGGCTAGGCCACTCCAGGACCTTGAAATGCTTCTTACGAAGCCACTCCTTCGTTGTCCCGGGCGGTGTGTTTGGGATCATTGTCATGCTGAAAGACCCAGCCACGTTTCATCTTCAATGCCCTTGCTGATGGAAGGAGGTTTTCACTCAAAATCTCACGATACATGGCCCCATTCATTTACACGGATCAGTCGTCCTGGTCCCTTTGCAGAAAAACAGCCCCAAAGCATGATGTTTCCACCCCCATGCTTCACAGTAGGTATGGTGTTCTTTGGATGCAACTCAGCATTCTTTGTCCTCCAAACACGACGAGTTGAGTTTTTACCAAAAAGTTCTATTTTGGTTTCGTCTGACCATATGACATTCTCCCAATCCTCTTCTGGATCATCCAAATGCACTCTAGCAAACTTCAGACGGGCCTGGACATATACTGGCTTAAGCAGGGGGACACGTCTGGCACTGCAGGATTTGAGTCCCTGGCTGCGTAGTGTGTTACTGATGGTAGGCTTTGTTACTTTGGTCCCAGCTCTCTGCAGGTCATTCACTAGGTCCCCCCGTGTGGTTCTGGGATTTTTGCTCACCGTTCTTGTGATCATTTTGACCCCACGGGGTGAGATCTTGCGTGGAGCCCCAGATCGAGGGAGATTATCAGTGGTCTTGTATGTCTTCCATTTCCTAATAATTGCTCCCACAGTTGATTTCTTCAAACCAAGCTGCTTACCTATTGCAGATTCTGTCCTCCCAGCCTGGTGCAGGTCTACAATTTTGTTTCTGGTGTCCTTTGACAGCTCTTTGGTCTTGGCCATAGTGGAGTTTGGAGTGTGACTGTTTGAGGTTGTGGACAGGTGTCTTTTATACTGAAAACAAGTTCAAACAGGTGCCATTAATACAGGTAACGAGTGGAGGACAGAGGAGCCTCTTAATAAGAAGTTACAGGTCTGTGAGAGCCAGAAATCTTGCTTGTTTGTAGGTGACCAAATACTTATTTTCCACCATAATTTGCAAATAAATTCATTAAAAATCCTACAATGTGATTTTCTGGAGAAAAAAATTCTCAATTTGTCTGTCATAGTTGACGTGTACCTATGATGAAAATTACAGGCCTCTCATATTTTTAAGTGGGAGAACTTGCACAATTGGTGGCTGACTAAATACTTTTTTCCCCCCACTGTATAGCCTCGTTATTGTTATTTTATTGTGTTACTTTTTTTCTTACTTTAGTTTCTTACTTTTTTAATAAAATATTTTCTAACTTTTTTAAATGTTTTGCATTGTTGGTTAAGGGTTTGTAAGGAAGCATTTCATGGTAAGGTCTACTACACCTGTTGTATTCGGCCTTACATCTGTTGTATTCGGCGCATGTGACAAATACAATTGGATTTGATTTTGATTTGATATCCTGCAACTGCTGAAATGACTGAATCACTTGGATAACCTGAATTGTTTAACTTATTCTGAAGATTGAGACCATGACATAAATGCAATAGGATTTGATCGTTAGAGCTGACCTATCTCACACATACAGATGAAGGCTTATGCTATTATGGGAGTTTGTCCCATGACTCTCCATTAAGAACAATCATAAGGGAGTTGATGTAAGTATTACAGAGCTGATGAAACATCCATCAACAGTTTTATTTTGAGCTATTCCCAAAAGTAATCAGATGAGGGTAGAACGAGGTCACGCGACCCCAGGGTAAAGTCGGCCCGCATAATGTTGAAGATTTGGACTGGGTTGAGACTAAACTGACCCTAGATTTGTGCACAAGGCAACCCACTAGAGCCGGTGCGCAGAGTTTATAAACGGCACGCCCCTTTCACCTGCACTGGCGAGCGATTTGTCCTGGTGAAATTGGGACCATCTTCGTTAATTCAAATCTGCAGTTTTGTTGATTCACTTCAGAGGAAATCAACATGGGACGGCTGAACTTTTTCGTCCTTTGGTCGTTACACGATACACCCCGTCAATTTATCAGGTAGTTATCAGGTATTTCGTTTGAAAGTGGGCACGCAGCAACACCCACTTTGAGCCATCGTTATTCGTTACAGACATGTCCGATCTTCATCCTAGCAGTTCACAGCAGAAATGTTTGTCCGTATCTATTGCAGCAAGTCCAATCGCCAGTGCCACCAAGTCCATGTTCCATTGCCACTGCCCAAACAACTCGTGGTATTCAGTCTTGGGGAATGGCGGTTCTTATCAAGCGAGACAACCATCTCAGTTGATGTTCTGGTTAGCCAGGAGGTGAAGCCGCAGAGGATTGGTACATTGTCAGCCCAAACAAGGTACATTAGGCCTACATTCATTCTAATTAATAACAATTGAAAAAAATGCACATAAGGTCTATATTGCCTGTTTTGAAGGTGCTTGACTTGGGAGGGAGATTGGAATGCTGACCTTGTCCAAGAGGCAACAGAGAAAGGGAGGAGAGGAGTATATGGGAAGATTTTGCTCACTGTTTGTGGAGAGGTATGGTTTCCAGCGTGTCATTCTGTACATTTTCAATATCGTTATTGTGACAGGTGTCACTTAGTTGTGACATCTCACATTATAAATTAAATACTGACCAGATACTACATTCCTCTTGGCAAAGGAATCTGAAATGATACAAATAGCCTACATAATGTACCAGTGTCATAAATGATGTTATTCTACTCTTTCCTCAAAAAGAATGAAGCCAGTTTCATCAGCAATACTCCACGTGTGCCAAGAGAACATTCCAGCCCAGTCGAGCACAACAGCAATTTCTCCCATACTCTGCTCAACACCTCTGGGAGTCAGAGGGTAAATTGCAGGGGTATCCACTAGTTTGATATGGATTTAGTAGACCTGTCACTACTCTCTTGATTTTATGAGGCAGTTATCTGGTCTACACTGTCATAAAAAATGTAGTTCAGTGAAACAGAACTCAAACGTATCACTCTTTGCAGATTACAACCCCCAACTCCTCACATCTAGGAGACAGCATTTGCTATGCCGAACTCAAAGCTAACAAGACCGAAATTGATGACTCCACTTTATCTGAGAAACCCTGTATTTGGCCTACGGTAGGGCTCGTGCTTGAATAAGAAACTTTCCAAGTAGGGTGTGGTGTGGAGAGAGAAATTGAACCTGTCTTTTTAATCTTCATGGCATTTGAAGGATAAGACCCCCAGACAGACGGTGATTGATAAGAGGGGTCGCATCGCATGGAGCCCTGAAATTATTCCTCCTCAGGAGGACACTGGTCAAGCATCTAGCCCCAAGAAAAGGAAGCTATCTAGAGAGAACAGTGTTGAGAAGACTGGAAAGATGAAGACAAACTGCAGAGCAGGTCACAGAATTCTCCATGAAATTATTTGTTTATTTCAAATACCAGATATTCTGTTGAATGAAAAACATTAAGGATATTTTTTTTTTTCAGTTTGCCCATCAAAGCGCTGGAGCCACACTATGTGTCTGAGTGATCCTGAGACGGCCATTGTCATTGGAGGAGAAGCTTCTGACCAGACTCACTGCGAGGACTCCCTATGGAAACTGGAGATAGGTGAGAAGAGTTGCCCATTTTAATAACTTGTACAAAACAATTTGGGGCCAAAATGTAAAAATTTGTTTCCTACCATCTTGAAATGCCCAGCACACATTTGTTTGATCAAATTGATTGTCACCTTTATCTTCTCAGACAACGATTTTTGGTTCCCAATTAACTCCTCCACCTCTGGACCTGTCCCACCGTGTGCCCATGGCCACTCTGCAACCTATGACCCTGATTCCAAGGTCGTCTACGTGTACGGTGGCCTGAGGGAGGGCCAGCGCTACAGTGACCTTTATATCCTCAACACTCTAACCTGGAAGTGGAAGCTTGTCACAGTGAGTGTCCTGTCCAGTGCCCCTTGTCAATTTGTAGTTGAATTGACCTCAAGGACCTTAAAACTAAAAGTTAGATTTTCTCTCTTGTGGAAATTCTTTCTCTAGGCAAGAGGCGATGTCCCCATGTTGGCGAATCACTCTGCAACCATCTATAAGAAAGAGCTCTTTGTTTTTGGGGGGGTTCACCCAAGCCGCTGTCCTGGAGGCAAGGCCTGCAGTAATGCTCTGTACATTTTTAACCCAGAGTTTGAGCTCTGGTACCAACCCATTGTCGAGGGGGACCGACCTCAACCTAGGTTTGGGTCAGTGTTCCTTGATTTATATTTCTGTAGACAAGGCATTGGGCTATTACAATACTTCACTTACTGTATCTAACCATTACAGGACGACAGTGCTTATTTAAGAAACACATTTTGTGTTTACATTACAGGCACTCAACCACGCTTTTGTCCAACCAGTTGCTCATTTTTGGTGGCAGGAAGACTGCAACCTACCTAAACGACCTCCACATTTTGGATCTCGGTAAGGCACTGACAGTGGTGATGTGGATTACTCTCTATACAAAGCTAGTTGCCACTATCTTCAAATGTAATTTTCTTCATTTTGGCAAAAGGCTTCATGGAGTACACGGCTGTGAAATATGAGAACATGCCACCGCAGCCTCGAGGGTGAGAACATATACTTATTCAACCTTGTAAAATGTGAACGCAATGCCCATCTGACATTTTTTCATCTTTCAGATATCTAGGACATCAACATGTATTTGCTATGATGAAAAATAATGTCTCTATTGCCACACAGACCAATATTGCAACCATTTAATTCTATGCCATTTGTTGAATCTGATATTTATTGACAATGATGTATATTGGTGTAGAAATGCCTTTTTACTGTGATAACGTTGCCCTATCTCACCTGTGTGGTCAGATATCACGCAGCACTGCCAATATCAGACAACAGGATGCTGGTCAGTGGAGGCTGCAGTGCTATTGGAGCCCTACAGGACATTCATATCTTCAACATGGGTGAGTACACACTCACCAAGGCCTGTCATGTTTTTAAGAAAGTTAAAATAGTAATCCAGTATCTTTCAATTGCTTTGAATAGAAATGCCTCTGTCTTGATAATTTTCAGACACCAGCATGTGGAGTTCAGTGGTGTCCCCTCTGCTCTGTGCCAAGCCTCGTGCCGGACACAGCGTGATCAATCTGGGAGGTTCTGGCTTCACAGACCCTGATAAACAGAAGCAGGGGGAGTATACCAACATCCACTGCACCCTCTTGGTGTTTGGGGGCTCAGACTGCGCTGGGACCTTCTACAATAACACAATGAAGTGCACAGTGGAGATCCCTGTAGATTAGAGACTGGATCTTAGGGGGAGACTATAACGGCCTTATTGGGAAATAAGGAAAATCAATTGACTTTTTATCCCTGTATCTGGTTTACGCATGCTAAATAATGAGTGAATGTGCCAGGGGCAGAACTCGTGACTTTTGAGTCCTTTGTATTTGCTGTTTTGTGTAATGGCTCTGTTACATTAGGCTTGGATTTCATCAAGTCTTCAGTTAGTTTTATTGTGGCCATTTTGTTTGCTCTGTGCTGTAGTCTTGCCTGATTAGCTATTTTCCTGAGGGGGATGTTGATTGTCAGTTATGGTGCAAGTGATGCCTTTTTTTCTCCCATTGTGGTGTTTCACATTACGGGTCGTGACCCATTTTTCCCATTGAGAAGATGGTATAGACATCAGATCTGACAAGCAATATCTCTTTTCTGTTTTTTAGATATTCTCATCAATGTGTGCGTTATCACATATGGTAGAGCTGAAATCAATTTTCTGTTTTATTTGAATTTATGTAAGCTGAACTTCAGCTTTTTTACGAAATCGATTTTTTTAACAAAGTGCAGACAGCCATTTTCACTTTCCCTAAACTTATACAGTAACATGAAGGATCAACAGTGGGCTACTATTTGGCACTTGGGTATTTGTACAGTAAATGGTTTCTTATTGATTTAAATATCACTGTTCATGTTTTTACATTTTGTATTGTTTTTCTTTTCACAAATCCACTTTGGTCATCATTGGCATATTTTGTGTAGATGGGGGTGAATGTACTGTATCGTAGAGGGTAAAAATGAATATATTAAAACAACTCAACTTCTCATCATACAAGTAATAACTGGTCTTATTTAATGAGATTGAAACCAAAGACATATCAAAGCATTTTATTGAAGTATTCAATGATTGTGGCACTACTGGCTCCCTTAGACATCAGGGGTTCTCAAGTACATATTTCAGCAGGTGTGTCTGGTTGGCAGGACGGATGACTCCCTTTGAAAGCATCTACCTTCAGTAAGGTCTGGTTTAGCCTTTTGATAGTTGGGAACTGATCAACATCCACTTTGAACCTGTTGGGCAAATGTAAAAGTCTCGTGGGTTGTATGTTAAGTGATGAATCGGTCTCATACTGTGGTGTACTTCTATAACAGTTCTGAATGACTGTGGGTGCCTTACCGTTCAGCATTATAGACTTGAGGGACGAGACAGATGTCTGCCATGGAAATCTAAAAGGTAAACATGGTTAGTTCAAGAATTCCTAAACTTGAAGAGATGTCTACTGTGTTTTGATGTGATGAGTGTCCCCTCACCTCGTCCCCTACACAGTACTTGCCAGCTGTCTCTTTCAGAATGGGTTCCAGGGCTGAGAGACACATAGGGGCATGAGTCAGGCCTGTAATGGTTGTCTAGAATGATACTGGTATTGTATGTAAGGCTATTTTACCCACCTTCAAAACCTCTTTGGATGAAATGCTGTGCCCACTGCACCTTCTCGGCTCCTATCTTCTGTAGCACGTACAAATTCTGAAATACAAATGATCAGACGACGGTGTACCTCTATAGTCATCATTGTTGCAATGGCAATTCAACCACATGACGTCCATACAGTAAACAAAGTTTGTTTTACAAATTGGGTCAGATCTGCAGTGGACTGGTATGCCCTCAATTGGTTGTATACTTTTCTCTCGTTTACCCACTTTCTTTGTGCTGTAATTCACTCACCTGCACAGGCTGGATCCCAGAGGCGATGAGGTCAGAGATCATGCGTGCCTGGGCACGTTTCTTTGGGTCTGCAGGGAGAAGCCTGGGTCCTGTTCTGGTCTCCTCAATGTACTGGATCACTGCCAGCTGAGGGTGAGTGGATGAGTTTTGTCAATGTTGCATTTGGGGAATTTGGAGCAAGATTTAAGAAGTTATCTTAACTTTTATCAGTATCTCAGAAGTACATAACTGTTGGAACATTGACAAACCAATAACATCATTGGACTCACCGACTGTGACAGGGTGATGCCATCAATTTGGACAGCAGGCACTTGTTGCATAGGGTTTAACCCCTTGTATTGGTCTGTAAGCTGATGTGTACAGTATGAGAACATTATATCTGTTACACCATTATTGAGGTTCAATACCTCTACCTTAAAAGCAAAAGCATGAGGCGTGAGGAAGTTACCTGCTGACCCCCATCTTTGATTAGATTGACTGGGACTTGGTCAAATTCAATACCTTTAAGAGCAAAAGCTGGAAGAAGCAACGTAGGTTATTTATTTCCAGTGTCAAAAATATTTGACAATTGAATTATGTTGTAAAGTAGGCAGAGATGTGGAATATACATAGTCAAAAGGTACTTACCGATTCGAACCCTCCAAGAGCATGAACTCCTGAAATATCCATGAAGAATGGGCTAAAGGGTAGAAAAGTACATCAGTGCACGTGATAAGTAATATTCTCATATCTTCCTTAACGTTTCTCATTGATTTACCTTGGTTTGAGTTGCCATAGTATTCAGACAGATCAGGCGTTTAACTACTGCAAATTATGTTACTCCTGAATGATAACAAAAAAGCTTAGTTCCTGGCAGCCAATAGAATGTGCTCCCAAATACCCTCCTCCCTGGTTTTGGTCTATGACTAAGCACTTTCAATGAATTCCACGTTTCAGTGTCACGCGTGTCTAGTACTGAAATGTTGTAAGCAAGAATTGGTACAATACCTTTTGTGAGGCAAGAGTGAGAGACGCATTGCAGGTTATAAGGAGTAGGTAGGCAGGCAGGCAAGAGACAGTAGGCAAATATTACTTTGTTGTGCATTTAACAGCTGATTTCGCATCACATGTCACAGAATACTTTGAATCTGCGATCACGGCTTGTTATGCGGTTTTGCGCAATACTGCAAGATGGAAATCGTTTCCTATATCATGCAGATTATATAAATTCCGCCGTGTTTCATAAAATTTGCGCTAACTAATTGTACATTTGTAGGTACTTTTCCTTCATAGTATAAACATTGTCGATTAACTCTGTGACCACCTCATAGAGATAGATAGAGGACTCATCTTTGTATCTGTGCAATTATAGCGTCTGCGACAGTATGCGTAGCGCCTTTGAGGCTATCTCGAGTTTGAAGTAGTCAATTTTATCATTCATGATAGACTGAACCCTCCTGATGACCCGGTTGGACAAGACTCCAACAGGGTCACCAGGAGGGATCAGCCAATGAAGGTGGAAGTCCCACCCATTTCACCACATTAAAATGGTGGAAGCCCTGAATGGCGTTGCCCATTCTAATATAGCCTTTTGGCCACTAGAGGCTTCTATCATTCTCTATGGACCATATTCAGTTATTGTCTGTGACGGACCATAACTAAACCAGTCGAGTTGTCAAAGACGGATTCTGCGCTTTATCCAATAAAATACTTGCATTGGGCGCATTTTTTGTAATAAAGGTGGTTCGTCTATAATTTTACGTAGAGATTGGCTAATACAGTTTTAGTTTCAGCCAATAAGGTTAATATTTTTGTGGGAGGTGTTGTTCTACGCCAATAAGTGATCAGCTATTTCCAGACCCCTCCCTCTTTTCAATCGATGTAGGCGAGGGAGTACATTTGAAGGGTGTTTCCACTGACACTGCTGGCAAGAGACATCATTTGGGGATTAATCAAGCAATAAACACGGTTTCATCATGGCATCGCCTGTAATGAGATCACTGTCGAAGAAAAGGGTAAGAAATCATGTTATAATGCTTTACCCACGAATGAATGACGACTAAATGCTTTTGATAGGTTTGACATTGTTTACAAAATGTTAGCTCTCATGTGGCTTGGCGGTTGTCTGGTTATTGACTATTCTGTAGGTCACTTTTAGGAACCATTCCTTCTTAGAAATCGGTCCCAAATCAACCTCTCCTGCAATGTTTTTTTTTTTTTTTTAAGCGCTTATCATATCTGCTGCATGTCAAGGTTTGCAGTTATAGTACTCCCATGTGTGCTGTCCAGCTAAATTGTTTAATTGATACATTTTTAGCTTTTAGTAATCCCTCCAAAAATCACTGTGAAATTGACCCCTACATTCACGTGTATGTCCCTGTTGCACTTCTATGACATTCCGGATTGCCATAGCTGTACATTAATTCCGTTTTAACAAGAGGCCTGGAAGTAAAAATAATAATATTTGCTTTTGTCACATACACCAGATAGTGCAGTGAAATGTTTTACAGTAGATGTGTCAAACTCATTCCATGGAGGGCCTAGTGTCTGCAGGTTTTTGGTGTTTTCTTTCAATTAAGCCCTAGACTACCAGGTTTGGGTGTTCCTTACTAATTAGTAACCATAATTCATCAATAAAGTACAAGGGAAGAGTGAAAACCAGCAGACACTTGGCCCTCCATGGAATGAGTTTGACACCTGTGTTTTACAGGGTCAGCCATAATAGTATGGTGCCCCTCGAGCAAATTAGGGTTAAGTGCCTTGTTCAAGGGCACATCGACAGATTTTTCACCTTGTCAGCTCGGGTATTCGAGCCAGCACCCTAGTAGGTAGTAGGCCTAGTGCATCTACTTTGCTTCTTATGCTATATAGCTGAGAGTCGAAATGATGATATTATTCACAATAAATGCATGAACTCATGGATGCATTATTCTTTGCAGCAATTGCTAACCACTTGCTTCCTACCACCAGGTACCTCTTCAGGTCGGGAGCATGTGTTACTCCTCCAAAGTGGTGAGTTAATAACATAAATAATACTTTTATAATAAACTGTTCATTATAGTGGTTGTATATGACAAACAGATGATGAATTGTCACACTGTATTTCTGATAGAAATGTAACATGTTTTATATTTCTACCCATAGCCTACCACAAAGTTGTTTATTGATGGGAAGTTTGTTGAATCCAATACTTCAGAATGGTTAGATATTCACAATCTGGTAAGTAACTAGGTCTAAAAGAGCTCCGATATCGTATTCTAAATTGTATTAGATATCTTATTTTTTTCATTCAATGTAACATAGTATGTCACAATGCACAAACAAGACCTTGGATGGGTCTGCCGCTGCACTTTGCAGTAAGGTGAAGCTACAAAGTCTGCTTAGCCGGTTAACCAGTTACGTGGGTTTTGACTTTCAGCATATTATGTTTAGTTGCTGCACAAAGTTGTCAAGTTTTCAGCAATGACAAGGTTCGGCCTTCTTTTGCTTTCAGTTTGATTATCATAGAGGTTTAGAATGACTCTTGAGAGCATTACTCTCAAAAAAAATTCTCTAGATGGCCATCTCTTTGATGAAATGGCACCATATGATGGTTTTGTCAGTTGTCAGATCATAATGTGTTGAAGTTATCTGCTCAAGCTAAGCACACAGCTCATACCAATCAAATATTTTTGTTTTATAATCAGATTGCAGTTCACCCACTAATGTATTCTTCCCTCTGACTGTCACAGGCCACCAATGAGGTGATGGCTTGTGTCTCCAAGGCTACACAGGATGAGATGCTGGCTGCTGTGGACTCCTGCTCAAACTCCTACCGCCCCTGGTCTGAAACCTCAATTCTGTCTCGCCAACAGATCTTTCTGCGCTATCAGCAGCTTATTAGGGACAATGTTGTAAGTCTGTAACACCTCAGGGACAAGAACCTGTTCTGAAGTACATATGGTACAATACTGCTAGAAGGGAAGGTAAAATCTCATCAACCACTCTTCATTGCACGTTCAGCAACATTAACTTGTCACATAGTTTTTTTCTGTCATATTATGGGGTTTAAACACTACCCCTGCATGCCCCATCATTTGAACCTTTTATACCCCACATATTCAGTATGCCCCTATACAATTGGTTTACCCTTACTGTTGCTCGGGTTGACTTTAATGTGAGTTACTCATTTTAAATGAGGAAACTGATTTGTTGTGTGTGTTGGCTCATGGTGTGTCTTGTTACAGAAAGAGCTTGCCAGGAGCATTAATCTGGAGCAGGGCAAGACCCTGGCAGATGCAGAAGGGGATGTGTTCAGAGGATTGCGTAAGTCTGATGTGCACCAGCCTTTCCAAAGGGCAACATTTGGAGATATGGTCTATAAGCTTCTGTGGATACTTGTGGTGCAGCCAAGGAAATGATTAATCTGTACATTATTTCAATGTCTAGGTCACTAGTGTAAAGAGCTCTTTGGTCTATCACTTGTGACAGTCTCCATATTAGGGATAGTCACACACACATTCTGTGACTGACCCAGCTCTTCTCTCTGTCTCTGAATAACACCCACTTCCCTCCAGAGGTGGTGGAGCACACATGCAGCATTACCTCCCTGATGCTGGGGGAGACCCTGCCCTCCATCACCAAAGACATGGACACCTACACCTTCCGCTGCCGGGGTGTGTGCCGACATCGCCCCCTTCAACTTCCCCGCCATGATCCCTCTGTGGATGTTCCCCATGGGCATGGTGTGTGGCAACACCTACCTGCTGAATCCCTCAGAGCGGGTGCCAGCCTGCACCATGCTCCTGGCCAAGATGCTGCAGGACGCTGGGATGCCAGATGGGACCCTGAACATCATCCTTGGCCAGCACGATGGTAAGAGAATAGCTACATGCCCCATCACCTACTGTTCTCTGAGATATATCTGGAGGCATTACTAATGTAATGTGAATCATTCAATTTGTCTCTATGCTTTGATGTAGTTGTTGTATTACAAAGTGGAGAGATTATGAAGAGATTATGGCTGGCCTGTCAGTGCTCTATCTAAAATAAGTCCCTGTCTTTCCCAGCTGTCAACCTTATCTGTGATCATCCAGCCATCAAGGTCATCATCTTTGTGGTCTCCAACCAAGCTGGAGAGTACGTCCATGAGAGGGGATCCGAAAACGGCAAGAGAGTACAGTCCAACGTGGTGAGTCTGACATACATATGTTGTTTCCAGAAATGAACAGAGGGTGGCGGTGTTAGCTTAGAAATGGTTGTTTAAGGTTGTCCTCTCTGCTCCTCTTCTCCAACGTGGCTGTACAGATGGAACAGCCATTCAGAGCCAGACACCCAGTTACACACTTTGTGGAAATTAGTCTTATCTTATTTAACACAATTATTATCTTCAAATAAAATGCACTGACGTAATGTAAAGCACTTACAATAGTGTACTTTTTGTTTGCTCACTAAAGTTCTTATAAGAGGAACTTTCGAGACCACCTCTGATCGAATCTACATTCAACCACATTGAAGGCATGATGGAATGGGCTTTTACTTGAATTGGATCACTTTCCCTGGTATTCAGGTCAAGGAGGCTAAACATTTCCCCCTTATGCTCTACTGTAGGGAGCAAAGAACCATGGTGTGGTGACGCCTGATGCCAATAAGGAGAACACTCTGAACCAGCTGGTGGGTGCGGCATTCGGGGCAGCAGGACAGCGCTGCATGGCTCTCTCCACGGCCATCCTGGTGGGCGAGGCCCGCAGCTGGCTGCCTGAACTGGTGGAACGTGCCAAGGCTCTGTGCGTTAACGCAGGAACCCACCCTCTCACCCTGCCCGCACCTCCCACCCTATCCAGCCCTCAGGGGGCCTCTGCTTACTCCTCTTAAGGCCACCCACTGTTTCGCCTCTTTGCTGTACCATAACTTCAGATGGGGCTGAGCTGGGAGAGAGGGGTTGTTGAGTCACTCATGCTGCAAACTTGCGGTGACATTTGCGGCCGACGCTTAAGAGTAGCTCAGAGCATCAAGTCTTTGCGAAAGGAAGTTGATGGGGAGAAGAATGAATGATTCCCCTTATTTGCAATGATATACTCTCTAATTTGTGTAGCTGCATTTAAACAGCCATTTTAGAGGGAGTGCCTCTGGGTGGCCCTGGCTGAGCTTTTGAGTGTTTGTGTGTGGGTGAAGGGGTATTTGTGTGTGGCTGTGAGGGAGAGTTCTCACTGCGGGTTATTTATTGGGAACCCTCTCAGGGGACCAGGCGGGTGTGGACGTGGGTCCCCTGATCTCCCCTCAGGCCAAGGAGAGGGTCAACAGCCTGATCTAGAGTGGGGTGGATGAGGGAGCCCAGCTGCTGCTCGACGGCAGGAACCTCAAAGTCCAGGGCTATGAGAATGGCAACTTTGTGGGACCAACCATCATTGGCAATGTCACAGTAAATTTGTGTGTGCTTGCAGATGACAAGCTGTACTGCCAAAAATGATGTTCATTTATGTGCATATCCTTTTTGTATCTTAGCCCTAGATGAAGTGCTAAACTGAGGAGATCTTTGGGCCTGTTCTGGTTGTCCTGGAGGCTGAATCCTTGGATGATGCCATCAGGCTTGTCAACAATAACCCCTATGGCAATGGCACAGCTATCTTCACCACAAACGGAGCCATAGCACGCAAATACACTCACGAGGTGGACGTAGGCCAGGTGAGTGGCTGTGGACCCCTGTGTGTCCCCATATGTCCTGGGAGAATGGAGGCATTCATATCCCTCTGCCATGTCTATACCTTAAACAAGGAGGACATCACACCTCTGTTCTAAAATATACACTCAACAATCATTATTTTCCATGGAAAGTATAGCCTTGTTTGCTTCTGCTCTAAAACCAACGCTTCTTCCCTCCCACCACCTAGCCCCATGTGGACAACAAATAGCTATAGCAAATATGTGCCTTTTTAATCAAAACAGTGGGATATAGAAATACATTTTCTGGTAGGATTATAGGAGAGAATCTTAAATTAAACTCAAAAGGGATTCCTTAGGACCTGTTAAATATTTAAAGCATAAATATGGCCTGACTTTACCCTATTTGTTTGCGGGCCTCAGCTATGCCCTGTGTTTGCTCTTCACATGTCGGAGGACAGCGTATAGGGCAGGCCATGTGCTGTAATCGCCTCCAAACCTGGCTGTAACAAAACCCTCCTTATGTTTATTTCGCTCCCTCAGGTAAAAGGCTTGACTCTGGTGTCCAAAATTGCTCCTTCTTTTTCAAACATTCTCGATGAACCATGAGTTTCCAGTGGCCTCAAAAACAAAATGTTTTGTTTAGTTCTTCTGTCCATGCAACTTTTTCAACACTGCACAAGCAATGGTTTTCGGTTTGTTGTGACTCATTTCATGCATTTAGTACACCTTCCTCTCCCAGAGTTACTCATCCAGTTGCTCTGATCCTATTTGAGTCAACAGCTTGCATTTCCAGTGCAGTAATGGAAGTTTGTGTTTTGCAGATTGGGGTAAATGTTCCCATCCCTGTTCCTCTGCCCATGTTCTCCTTCACTGGCTCACGAGGCTCCTTCAGAGGAGACACCAACTTCTATGGCAAACAAGTCAGTATCAGTTGACATAAGGTATCAAGGGGTTTCAAGACATACAGAAGTTAGTATGACAGGTCCTAATACGGGGTTGTAGTGCTGGGCGATTTCCACATGAAGGTTGGAGTTTCTGTGGCTGACTGGTGACGTAAACCACTCGGTGTCTTAACTGATCAAAGCCAACTATCTTCAGTCCAGATTTTCAGCTTTGTTTCATGTTCTCAGTTATGTAATACGGTCATGATGCCACACATAGTTACAGAGCAGCCTATTATAGATGTCTTCTCTGCTTTCTACAGGGCATCCAGTTTTGCACACAGATCAAAACTGTTACTTCACAATGGAAGGCAGAAGACGCTACTGTGAACTCTTTCAGTTTCCATGCCAACCATGGGACGCTAACTGGTCTGGAGGGAAAATTTTCCCACTTCCCTGTCTTTTGTGATGCAAAATGTCAAAACTACTGTGCAGTCCAGTCGCCATTAGTTGCTAATTACCCACAGACGTGCTTTTTTTCTCCAATGGTATCTCAAGATTAATTCACGCACTATGGAGAAATAGTTTGGCTTCACCGTTGAATGACGTTTCCCTTGTTCTATGCAAGTTTCTACTAATTATGTGTATATTAGGCTAGCAACTCCCACAGGTTCACAGATCATGACTATCTATGTTACGTTTTTGGTAATAATGCAAAGTAACTGTAGCAGCTAAAACATTGTGAAGTACTTGCATAGCTTTTCTTCTATGCAACATCAGTGTTAAAAATATACTGCCTCACCATCGTTATGATATTGATGAATGTGTAGCTGCCAAATGTGATGCCACATTGGATTCAGTTAATGGATTCAGTTAATCTGAATATTTGAAATTTGTGTTATGCACACATCCTGTGGTGCAGTTATTCCTGCATGTGTCTATTTAATTACGTCCAGTACAGGTTGCATTTTAATATAAAGCCTGTCTGCTTAAAAGTTCAAGTAAAAAAAAATACCAAACATGGTTTTCACACATGGTTTTCACACAACCATCCACATAATTCTGGAGAATTCATTTGGAGCTGCAAAATCCTCAGACCGACAGTGACACTAACACTGCAGTGGACTGTCAGGGGGAGCTCATGTGGTCTGGATATCCGGCTGGGGTTAGAGGGCAGGTTAAACACAGGCGCCTGGTTGATGGTCACAAGGGACGGCTCCTCTGTAATTCTGCAAGGCATATGTCATTATGTAACACAAAATCTACAAGGTCTGATAAATAATTCTCAGGAATCACTGCCTCACTGTCAGTGGCTAAACATGCTATATGGGACAGATACATCTACCGAAGCTTTGTAATTACGAAGAGAAACCAGGACCGTCTCCTCAAACATTATTTTGGTTTCTTACCCGGGATCGGTGTGTTCTTGTTCCTATCTGGGGATGCCGACAATGCCAAAGGTTGGCTCAGATTCCTGCAAAAGAAAGAGTTTCATTGAAATGCTGTTCATTTTAAAATGCACGTTTTACCATACTGTGCCACCTGCTCTGTCTAGCTGTTGACTGCAGAATGGCCTTGTAAGGGTTATGATTCATAGTCTACTGGGTTTCTGTAAATCCATCATAGGTTGCCAAATGCTAAGTTTGCAAGGCAAGACGCCAGGGCAATGTTGACATTAAAGTACATCTCTGGCCTCCAATACACCCTATACCTTCAGAGCCCCTGCACTCAACTTGACAATCATGTTGCCAGCTGTTCCCTGACCACAGGCGTTCAAAGAACCAATAAACTCCTTGTGCACGTGAAGTGGGGCCAAGAGGCTGAAGGCAAATCGGCGTGGCTAGATGTTTGTTTCCAAGCACAGGACTCTGTGGCCGGCCCTAGTTTTACTATTGTGCCCAGACTCTTTCTTCATTCTTTTTAAGCCGCTGGACGGAAAAGAAAATTGGTTTAAACCTAACTGATGTTTTATGGTATCCTCTTCTGCTGACAAAAGAGCTGTTTAAGACATTAAAAAGGAGTCACAAATAAAGGCCCTCAGACTGCAACATGGCTCATGCTTCTTATGGTATCACTACGTTTTGATCTCTACACATTATTGTGCCAGGGGTTTTGTTTTCATGTTTCATGATTCCAAATTGATGGTATCATCTAAACTGAACGCAGTAGAAATAGAAAAGAGGGAAGCTAACAATGAGCATGTCTGCTGGCAGACAACACAGGACCCACACAATGTAGTAGCTAGCTGTTACCTTGCTTTCTGTCCTGTTCTTTTTGGCAAACAGTCTAAGCACTTTCTCCTTCCACGTGAGTTCAGAGATTTTGAAACACAAGTGTAGTGGAAAAATAAATGTTCAAGTAGGAACAGTCTAGACATTATTTGTCAACTTTTGAACAGTGTACAATGTTTGTTCAGAATAGATGAATGCTGAATCATATGCAGCTGACAAGGAGTTGCTACCAGAGCAATGGGGAAATGTACGGTAAGTGGTGGTAATGACCGCAGGCAGGCCTCACCACTTCTCAGCCTCCTCCAGGTCAGTGTAGACACTGTTGGTGCTGTGAGGGGTTTTGTGGAAGATGCGGATGCAGGGGTACTTCCTCCTGCTTGCCTGACCAGGCCTCACTCATCCTCCTACGGTAGGCCTCCTGCCTGTACTGCATTCGGCTGGCCTGGATCTCCTGCTTCACCTTGCCCAGGACCTCCTGGAAGAATCATTCCATCTCTGTGAGCTGCTACACGATGCTGCGTGGCAGCCGCTTCACTAGCCCAATCTCCTCCTCCCGCGTGGCCAGCAGCTTCTGCAACTTGTCCAACTCCACCTGGCCGGCCTGGGTGCTGTCCAGGGCCCAGTGCTGCGTCTCCTCGTCTCTCTCAAACACCCCCACCATGAGCCCTAAGGCCTGCTCCGGCGTCTACAGCTCCAGGGTCCCCACCTTCCCCCTCAGCTCTGCTATTCTCCATCAGCTCACTGGTATCCTAGGGGTGGGAAATATAGGAATGGTTGAGGGGTTAGTCTTAAAATAGGGTTGAGATCATCATGACAATATACATATAGCTTTCTCCAAAGTAACGTAATTAATTAAAGCCACTAAATGGCATGTTGATGAATGGATAATGTTTTGGGGGGCTTGACTGCCAAATGGAAGGAATGAGCATGGAATGGAACAGAAGAAGGATGAGCATGGAAGGAGGACTGAGCTGGGGTGACTTCATCCTGTCCTCTCTTTATCTAAATAATGGGTGAGATTACGGTACACCGTATTTATTTGCCTTAGAGAAACAGTGTCTGAAAATGCTGAGGGGGGAAGCCACTGACTTGGAACCCAGAAGCCAGTGGAAACTCGTCACAACCACCAGCCACCGAGAGACTGGCTCGCATTGTGGAGGTGAGGGGTATGAGGGAAAGCAAGCAAAACAAACAAGGGGTCAGCAAAAATAAATAAAACGGGGGAAATACCATCTGAAATATGTCCACTGGACATCTGCCACGTGTTTAACAATTTAGAAAATACAAGTTATTGAGATGATGGTTCTTCGTCCAGGCACTGCCAGTGCATGAAAATGCCTGCAGTTCTGTTTGCGGCGCCATTGGGGCTGGTGTACCTTATGCAGTGCCAGGGAGGCGTATTCCTCAGCTAACGACACAGTCATCTTCCTCAGGTCCTCCACTTGGTAGCCTAGCGCCCCGCTGAGACTAACATTCTCCTTGAGCGCGATGCGTTGTCTAGCTGCCTGTTCATTTAGAAGACAAGAATGGCACAGTTTTACCTGTCAGGTGACATACTCTCTGAGGTATAAATGGCACTTCCACCACTTATCTTTAGTCTAAAGTCACTTTGACACCATAAGGATGGTGAACTGGGTTTGGTGACGGGACAGGGAGCAGTCTGGTGATGTTGTAGAGAAAATCATGAGCGACATCAAATTCAAAGCATAGATTGCTGGGGAGGATCTGTTTCAGATAGAGATGTCAGCTTGGTCTGAAAACACAGGTTACATTTATTTCTACTATATAAATCACCAATAACTGAAGTATAGAACTGGGAATAAAATTGATGAAAAATGCCACATTCAGTATCAATGTTGAAGATAATTTATAGACCATAAAAGAACACACAGACTTCAAAGTATATACAGTACCTAGTCTGTCCTCAAATGGCTTTAGAACTATACAGTACACAGAGAGGTCTTCCCCACACTCTGTTCCAAACCAGGACACTCTTCTTTGCAAGGCATTCTGGAACTGCTGGGGATGTCATCATTGGCTTAGGTGATGTACACGATCTTAAGGAAGATAAACTGGTGTGGTCAAGATAATAACCTTGTTTTCCCTCCTAGGTTATTTATTTTTGCCTCTTTTTTTTCTCCTGGCCTGAAGGTGCAGTTTGAAGAGTAAAATTAGCCCGTAATTGGCCAGCGGAGACACAACGGCTTCATTGTGGGCCCTCTCAGCCAGTTAGGCGATCCTCTGCTCTGCCTTCTTTTCTAGGCGAACCTGCAGGCGAACACACAGTACTCACTGTTCCTCTCACCCCTCTCTATTGCTCAGTTAGGCTTTTCACACCTTAACATCTTTACCCATTAAATCCATTACTTTTTGATTAGCTCAAGGCTCGTTTTCCCCAAGTGTATTTTTAATGTACAAAATAATTTGTCAATTTAAAGTCATCATACCTTTTCACTGAAGAATTTGTGCTCCATTCTAGCTTTCCTTGTGCTCGCTCTCCGCAAGGTACATGTTTTCTTTAATCTAGAAAGTAGAGAGTTGATGATCATTGATAGAATTGTGAAATCATTCACAATCAAGAGTGGTACTTCAGGGTATCAAGCAAGGTTTCTGTCCATCTTGTTCTCACACTGTTGAGCTCCTGCGCCATCTGGGCTTTCTTTTTCCGAAACTCCTTGATAGTCTTCAGTTCACCCTGGATCATCCTGAACTCGATGGATCTCTTCTTGAAGTTCTCCTCCAGCTCATTGAATTTAAGAATGTACTCTGCAACCTGCAACAACCAATCATATAGTTAGTTATACTGTATATTACTTGGATGTTGGAGTCAAATAAAATTATGTTATCTCTATACAACAGGTGTAAATACTGTATACCGATATTATTAGCTACTTTACGTATACAATGAAGATTTTGATAATGTACACTATCCAAAGCTAAGTGTGTATCCACTTCATATTTGTATGTGAGATGGCAGCTGCTATTTCAGAAATATAATTAATGCAGATTTTTGGAGAAAATATTACCATAGCTTCCAGGAACAGGAGGAGAACAACCACTTATAATAGCTGGGAATAAAATCTAAAAGTTCAGATTAAGTATGGCCTTTGCAACCCAACCCAACCCAACTTCAGGCACAGATTAGTCAAACTGGGAGGCTGAAATCAGAGTTTAACTGCTGCTGTGTACACTCTAGTCAAAAATGTGACTGAAGTGGCCAAAGTTATGGAAGGCAAGCAAAACATTCACCCACAATCAGGTACATGACTAAATGATAGGTTAGCAACCATTTTATTATAATGTTATGCCTAATTGTTATTCTTTAGATAACTCTATAAATGCCATGGTACTTTAGATGCCACTTATTTGCTATGTGTCTATCGTGTATTCTATAAACTTATGACAGTGATCAATTCAATTATCAACAGATCTCTCTAGAAAGCTTCCATTCTTTCATCAAATGGCCAGATTTGTGTTGAATACGTTTTGCAGTTCTCTCTTTTCTCTGTTATGCCTAATGCTGTGTTTTAGTTGCAAATAAAAGATTGCACTGACCCAGTGGAATGACTGGAAAATGAAAACTGCAAAATATCTTGAGGTTATAATTGTTTGGTGGCTGACTTCAATATTCAGTCTCTTGTCAGACTATTTTGAGACAAAAGTCACAGGGCTCATGTTCTCTGAGTGCGTTTATGCAATGGTTTCCATTAGCTAAGTACATTTTCAAGATGAACCATTTGATCACTTTACAATGAGCAAAGGGGGTTGAGGGGCATGTCTTGAAATCACATCATTAGGGTCAACCACAACAACAGTTATTTCCAGAATTAGTGCTACATGGGCATATGTGACAATGCCATGCATGTCTAAAATGGGGGTGTTTTAAGTTGGTCCAGACCGAACCTCTTTTATTTCTCAAAAGCTTATTGGGTCCCATTTTTACCAGCATGAAGTAAGAGATGGAGATGGAAAACAGCTGTTAGCAAAAGCGGCACATTTCTGCACATTTTCTGTGTGTTGACCATTGCAATGGCAGTCAGATATTTCAATGATCTTTACTCCAATCAATGTGATGTATTTTTCTCTGTAGAGATCAACTGTCAAAATTAACCCATAAATAAAGTTGCACACCAGCACAAACAATCCATATGACACATGAGGGATAGATACCTTCTTAGGCTATATCAAAACTAGTTTGTATGTTCGAGACCATGCACATTTTAATGACGTTTTTTTTTCAATTCTGTAGCCAAAGAAAGGCATTACCAAAACATAATTTTAGACTATATGGCTGAAAATGTATGGGGTAGTTTCTTAGTTTTATGATTTTATTGTTTGTTTTCTTTTTTGTAATTTTTTTGTACAAATAAGTTAGCATAGCATAGCAAATTCTCGATGCAGTATAAACAATGTATACCCTTAAGGCTTGCAGGACAATTAATATGAATTATTAGATAGACTACTATGCTGGGCAGGGTGCATTATGTCAGCAGTTTTGGACAAACATGCAAATGTTCCTGGTCCATTTCCGCCCTGTAAGATGTAAACTGTCTAGTCACTCCCTGTTCTTTGAATGTGGCTGTTAGGTCAAAATGATGGAAGACTTAACCTGGAAAGTTGGTTACCCAAACTTAATTCACAAAGACTAAATACTTACCAGTTGTTCATTTTCCTCAAGGGCCTGTTTTCTTTTTTTTTTTTACTTTTAAGTTGTCCCTCCAGCCTTGTAATTTGCAACAACAAAAAAATACAACATTTTAGGAAACCCCCCAAAGAAAATAAATAAAGTTATAATGGATATTATATATAAAAAAAAAAATAAAATAAAAAAATATATATATATATATATATATATATATATATATAGTTTGTATATTGATGTATTTTAAATGTGTGTGACTGTCTATCAGTGTACCAGTGGTTTGTGTTTTTTGGTGGACACCAGGAAGAATAGCTGCTGCTTCTGCAGCATTGACCTTTTCCTTCTCAATGTCAGACTCTTTATCGGCTTTTGACCCCTGTTTGCCTTCTTTCTTTCCTTTTCTAGACATACAATTTGGACAAAGAATTTTAGTAGCTATACCTACACAGACCTTGCCTAACAATAGCTAGCTAAAGTTAGCTACCCCCAGTGTGATAGCTAAGTTAGCTGCTACTATCCTAATTCAAGCCATGACAACAATGCAAAGAAAAAATTTCTTACCCTTTAACATGACCCTTATTTACCTTTTATTCTTTCTTCTTGGGCATTGTTTTGAATAAGATAATTGAACTGATAAGAATGAATGGGGCACTTATTGGCTAGCTAGGTTAGCTTCACATCAAGCCACTGGGGAACCCATGTTTTACAATGTTGTTGCCATAGAAACCATGTCATGTGGCACTGGCTGTGGACATGCTCGCAGTCTATGTCAAAATAACCTGAAGCAGATAATGTCATATGCACACCAAAAAAGTAATGTCTTATGCACAGTATACAAAACTATTACAGGTAAATTTGACTTAGCATGCAATCACACAAAAACATGGAAACGTATTCAAATGAAACAACCTAATCATCCTTTGATAGAGCTGGAGATAGTATATAATATAACAAATAGGATCTCTGTGCTACACACATTCAGACCAATAAGACACATGCAGAAACATCCCATCAACAGACCTTTGCATGAATATGAAGAAAGGCATGTTCATTTTCTGCTTCTTGATCCTCTTGTCATGTGAATATGTTGCAAATAGCACACGTGACACATTGACACAGATTTGTTTATAGGCCTACATGTGGAATGAGGTGCACCCCCTGGTATGGAATGACATTTTCACCCCTTCTGAGAGGAATATTGTTCTGCGTGTCCTGGGAAGAACCTTGGGCTGCTGACAGGTTACACAGCCATCAGGATCACACTGTTTTGTTGGATTATATAAATTGCAGAGAAGCCACAAAAGTTCAACAAATTGCAGTTGACTTTGCAGATTCTGAAAACCTGAACCAACTGAAATAAACAATGTAAAGTTATTGCAGGTCATTTGAATCGAAAAGCCAATGTCACATAGCATGCCCTCGCTCAACTGACTTCCAAATTGTGCTTTACGGAGAAACTCGAGGGTGCCCAAGGAACATTCTTCAACCAAACGTTGAACAAAAAAGTACATCACAAAATGTCAGGGTGTAGTTACTGTAAATGTAAGCATATTGCTTTTTGCACTGGCATCATGCACAGAGTTTGGGGACTAAATTTAAAGCTAATTGCTATGACAGGGAGTAGAGAAAACTGAAATAACCCTGAGCATTTCGAAGCTGTCATTATCATTGGAATTGTAATGACAAGGTTTAGGTCTCTTCAATAGAGTTTTGGGGTAGGACACCTGCAAACATGAAATTCCTGAGGGTAACATTGCAGCATATTAATAATAGATTGCAAGGCTCAGATAACAAAGCTTGGGTCACCTCTCATGCTTTAAAGCTTTTGGTTAAGATGCAACAAAACATCAAAAGTTGTATTTAAGATACCACTGAGGATTTCTTTTTGGACCTTTGACTAGTATTTGCTGTGTCATACTGCTACATCATTTCTATAGGCCTATGCCTCCCTCCCTAAAGCCTTATAGACTAACGCAACCTTTCATATAGATATTTGTTGTTGTTGTACTTTTACCCCTTTTCGTGATATCCAATTGGTAGTTACGGTCTTGTCCCATCGCTGCAACTCCCCTACGGACTCGGGAGAGGCGAAGGCCGAGAGCCATGCGTCCTCCGAAACACGACCCTGCCAAGCCGCACTGCTTCTTGACACACTGCTCGCTTAACCCGGAAGACAGCCGCACCAATGTGTCAGAGGAAACACCGTCCAGCTGGCGACCGAAGTCAGCTTGCAGGCTCCCGGCCCGCCATAAGGAGTTGCTAGAGCGCGATGGGACAAGGAAATCCCGGCCGAACAAACCCTCCCCTAACCCAGACAACGCTGGGCCAATTGTGCACCCCCCCATGGGTCTCCCAGTCACGGCCGGCTTTGACACAGCCTGGGATCGAACCGGGTCTGTAGTGACGCCTCAAGCACTGCATGCCTTAGACCGCTGCGCCACTCGGGAGGCCTTGATATTTATATTATTTACCAACTAGCCTACATATCCTGCAACAAAGCATGGTTGTGTACAATAAGCAATTACCTTGCTTTACAAAGTTACTTTTGATCTAAACTATTTTCAGTTTCAAACTAAACAGAATTTTATCTTGCCATAACCTCGAGAGAGGACAGACAGTTTAGTTTAGGGCATTTCTGATTCAGGAAATCCAGACAAACTATTCACTGTATGACAAATTATTATTTCTAACAATATTCTTAATACAAATGTCTAAGACAAATGTCAAAGAGTATAACAACACACAGTTGAAACCATTTTTGCAAATTGGCTTATACTTCCCTATCATCTTGGTGATCTCACCGCAGAGTTACAGGGTCAGGTAGTCAGAGGGCTAACCCTTAGGGAGAAATCCCGACCATCCAGCACACCCAATCTGGTGAGATTTGTATTGAAGCAAGACAAAAACAAAACAAACAAAATAACAACAACAATACACACAAACAAACACTTCTTCCCTTTTTCCCTTTCTTCAGATTACAACATCTCACTTTCAGTTATTTGAAAAGGAAATAATCTCCCAAATATCACTATTTCTAAAACAAGCCATAGAAAGTTGGTTGCAATTTCAATTTAATCCTCCAGAAACGACAGAACAAATAATGCAACAAAAATTGTGGTTAAACTCCAATATACTAATTGATAAAAAACCATTATATTTTGAAAAAATGCTTAAAAAATGTATAATCTTCGTAAATGATATCATAGGTAGGACTGGTGGAGTTACAGTGCCTTGCAAAAGTATTCAACCCCCTTGGCATTTTTCCTATTTTGTTGCATTACAATCTGTAATTTAAATTGATTTTTATTTGGATTTCATGTAATGGACATACACAAAATAGTCCAAATTGGTGAAGTGAAATGAAAAAAATAAATTGTTTCAAAAAATTCTAAAAAATAAATAACGGAAAAGTGGTGCGTGCGTATGTATTCACCAACTTTACTATGAAGCTCCTAAATAAGATCTGGTGCAACCAATTACCTCCAGAAGTCACATAATTAATTAAATATAGTCCACCTGTGTGCAATCTAAGTGTCACATGATCTGTCACATGATCTCAGTATATATACACCTGTTCTGAAATGCCCCAGAGTCTGCAACACCACTAAGCAAGGGGCACCACC